CTGGATGGATATACTGGATACTGACATATGGACTGAATGACTCTTCTTAATCTCTGTGTGAATTAAATATCTATTTAAAACCACAAACAGTGTTTTTGTCTCAAGTGTGTGTATACTCTTGGGCCCAGCCTCACTCTCATTTGGCTGCCTGGCTTGACTGCTGCTGTGCACTCAGCTCAGGGGTTTATCCCCAAACACTAACACAGTACTCTAGGTGTGGTCTTACTAAGGCTTTATAGAGTGGTATTAGTACCTCACATGATCTTGATTGTATCCCTCTGTTAATACAATTTAGGATTGCATTAGCTTTTTTGTCTGCTGCTGCATGCTGTTGGCTCATATTTAGCTGGTTGTCCACTAAGACACCAGGATCCCCCTTACAGTTCCTTCTATTGAGCCTGGTTTCACCCAGTCCATATGTGTCCTTTTGGTTTTTCTTGCCTAAGTGTTAGGACTTTGCTTTTCTCTGCATTGAATTTCATTTTGTTAAATATGGTTAAGTCTGTCAAGATCCATCTGGATCTTGAGCCTAATTATACTTAATTATACTTAATTGGTCAATGTAGCTTTTGTTACATTTAAATGAGTGCTTTTCAGACACGAGGACTTTAAAATGTGTAGACTTCAACTGTCAGAATGGAGACAGGATAATTTTCGGAGTCAAGAAGTCGACACATTTTAAAGTTAGTCAGGTGTGAGAAACACTGATTAAGGAAGGCTGGCTTGCTCTCCTCTGCCAGCATAATAATCATTTTCATGTTTTCACTAAACCATTGCAGATCCTGAAATGGTTTGTCTAAACTTTGACCAATTGAGTGCTAGAAACCAGACAGTTGGCTGCCTCCTAGAGGTGTTACAACAGTTTCATTTTCCTTTTGAAAGATATTTAAGAATACTTCCTCATTTGATAAACATGAACATTTTGCATTTTAGAAAGGCAAAAGGTTTTCTCACCCATCTCTTGTCAGTAATGTAATGCCCAAATTCTTTTCAGTATGCAAGTATGTATTTATGGCACTTGTATACTGCTGAACCAAGAATAAACCCGAATGGCAGTTTATTGTATCTCAGTTGCATTAATATATAAACTTATATTTAGAGCAAGCAACTCTTTGTCTAGCCTCCTCAACAGGCTGCTGGAAGGAAGGGGCAGAAACAAAGCAAAAAGATTAAAAAAAATTCATAAGCAAAAATGAATTAGATGAACAGTTTGGAAGAATATGTGTCATAAGATTATGCAACCATTTTAGTATCAAAAATCTTTGACCATGTACATATAGCTGAGGAACACGAGTAAGAAAAATTTTGGGGTTCCATGTTGGTATCTGATTGGTAATTTGGGGAGAGAATACTGGGTTCAGTTGACCATGAAGTTTAATTCAACCAGAATTATTGTTATGCTCTTAAACTTTTATTCAGTTTACAGATTTACAGAGTTGGAAGGGACCTTGTAGGTCATCTAGTCCAACCCTCCAAGCAGACCCTACATCATTTTTGACAGATGGCCATCCAGTCTCTTCTTGAAAGCTTCCAGTGATGAAGCTCCCACAACTTCCAAAGGCAACTTCTGTTCCATGGGTTGATTGCTGGTCTCACTGTCGGAAAATATCTCCTTATTTCCAGGTTGAATCTCTCCTTGTTCAGTTTCCATCTATTATTCCTTGTCTGGCCTTCAGGTGCCTTGGAAAATAGCTTGACCCCATTCCTCTCTGTGGCAGCCTCTCAAATACTAGAAGATTGCTATCGTGTCTCCCCTGGTCCTTCTCTTCACTGGACTAGTCATGCCCAGTTCCTGAAACCGTTCATCGTATGTTTTAACCTATAGTCCCTTTATCATCCTGGTTGCTCTTCTCTGCACTTTTTCTAGAGTCTCAACATCATTTTTATATTGTGGTGACCAAAACTGGGTGCAGTATTCTAGGTGTGATCTTACTAAGGTTTTATAGAGTGGAATTAGTACGTCATGTGATCTTGATTGCATCCCTCTGTTAATGCAACTTAGGATTGTATTGGCTTTAAATAATTAAATAAACTAATATTTAATTGGTTGTCCACTAAGACGCCAGGATCCCACTCACAGTTCCTGCTATTGAGCCTGGTTTCACCCAGTCTATATGTGTCCTTTTGGTTTCTAAGTGCAATACTTTACTTTTCTCTGCATTGAATTTCATTTTGTTAGTTAAAGCCCAGTGTTCAAGTCTGTCAAGATCCATTTGGATCTTGTGCCCATCATCTAGGACAGAGGCGGTATTCAGCAGGTTCTGACCAGTTCTGCAGAACTGGTAGCCGAAATTTTGAGTAGTTCAGAGAACCGGCAAGTACCACCTCTGACTGGAAATTTTACAGTATCCTTCCGCTGCCACGCCCACCAAGCCACGCCCACAGAACCGGTAGTAAAAAAGTTTGAACCCTACCACTGATCTAGGGTGTTGGCTCTTCCTACCAGTTTAGTATCAGTTTGTGACTCTTAAGCATCCTAAGCTAGAGAAGACATTTCTTTCTGTGGGAGGCCATTCCACCCAACCATCATGTGGCTATTTTAAAAACTTACGTCGGATCACGTGTCCAAAACTTCCAGTCTTTGGCCTTGTGGTCACACCTAGGAGCAAAGGGTGTTGCTTAAGCTGCTTTTCAGGTCTGCGTCTTCGAAGCCTGCTGTGAAAAATGATTGAGGGCATCCTAGCCCCGTAAACCCCCCAGACGTAGTCTGGAGACATGGCCATCGAGAGCACCTGGAAGCAAACGATCTCTTGCCACATGACATCCATGGCTTAGCAGACACAGGTAAGGTCGGTTAGAACTGCCTTTTGGACACACCACATACACGCACACCTGCAACGCTGCAAATGTTGGGAAAACACCAAATCAGGAAGTTCATTTGAAACTCAGTCAAAAGTGTAGAACCAAAACTGTTCCTCAATGATCAGAAACCAGGGTGGTCTCCACAGTCCATTCCAGAAACAACAATCCAATATTCTGGGGGCTAATTTAGAAGCCCTTCTAGAGGCCTACTCTCAACTAACTGCAGACCAAAGCCAAGGTGCGCCCAGCAGATTTCAACTGCTTGCACACACACATGGAACCTGGCAACCTTTATGATGTCACTTAAACCTCTGTAACACAACCTTCTTCAACTCAGTGTCTTTCAGGCACGTTGGGATCATAATATTCCAGGCAGTGTTGCAGTGGAGAGGGGGTGTCTTTCACATTCCCAGGATCAAGCTATCATAGATGTGCACATGTGCACAGAGACATGTGTGGCAAGAGTGGTGGTGTTGCCTGTCAAGCAATAGCTTTGCTATTTCTGAAGGAACGCTTCTAATCATGGAAATCTACTATGGTGTAGGTAGGAGGAGAGTAGGCAGAGCCCGAGGGTGGAGTCAAATGAGCCATCAGCCTAGAATCATTACGTTCCCATAAATGGTCTAAGTTTAACTTCTTGAATTCTGCTGAGCCTTAATGTAAAGGCTGTTCCCTTCCCACCAAAGTGGTCCCTATTTTTCTACTTGCATTTCTTATATGCTTTCGAACTGCTAGGTTGGCAGGAGCTGGGACAAGTAACAGGAGCTCACTCTGTTACGCGGCACTAGGGATTTGAACCACCAAACTGCCGACCTTTCTGATTGACGAGCTCAGCATCTTAGCCACTGAGCCACTGCGTCCCCTTGTGCTGAGCCTTATATAGTGCCAATTTAGAGTTGACCATTAATCGATTCAATTTCCGTGAATAGGCATGATATGTGGTCCTGATTCTTCATGCCTGGTAGATGGTCTGGAATGGCTTTCGAAAGCCCTCCTTTAGTCATTAAGAATTGGGCCTTTTTTGTGATGGAACCCAGGTTATACAACCCTTGCCTGACTAAAATCTTCCCTATCTCTCTTTAACCATGATGCAAAGCTCCCTGGGTTTTCTCACAGTTGGTCTTCATTGTGTACAAGCAGAGGCTCTTATATCCTGTTTCAAATTTTGCTGGCCCATTCTCTTTGGGGTACTCTTTGGACTGGCAGAGGGATGTGGTGGCTCAGTGGCTAAGACGCTGAGCTTGTCGATCAGAAAGGTCAGCAGTTCAGTGGTTCGAATCCCTAGCGCTGTGTAATGGAGTGAGCTCCCATTACTTGTCCCAGCTTCTGCCAACCTAGCAGTTCGAAAGCATGTAAAAAATGCAAGTAGAAAAATAGGGACCCCTTTGGTGGGAAGGTAATAGCGTTCCATGCACTTTGGGTGTTTAGTCCTGCCGGCCACATGACCACAGAGATGTCTTTAGACAGCGCTGGCTCTTTGGCTTTGTAACGGAGATGAGCACTGCCCCCTAAAGCTGAAAATGATTAGCATGTATGTGTTAGGGGACCTTTACTTCTACCTTTATGTTGGACTGGAAAGAATGCACTTGGAAAGACGAAGCCCCCATGAAATAAAATAATAAACCAAGCTCTTCCTGACTAATTCTGAGGTTGCATTTAGAAACCTTAAAACCTACCATGGGGGAAGATGCATTCCTCACTGGGTAATTAATTATTAGTAGTATTAATGCTGACTTAGTCTACTGAAAAGACTTTGTGCTGAGGCATCAAGAAAAACAAGGGAAGAAAGTACAGTTCTTCAGGAGATAAACATTCTTTAATTACATAGCTGTATTCTTCAGCTACTTTCATGTCTACGTCGAGCAAATGATATGCAAATACTGAATATGCAGTTAGGGTAACACCTGAAGGGCCCACCTGTATTGGATTTTGCTTGTCAGGCTTTGGGGACAAGACTGAACAAAATAGCGACACCTCCCTTTAGACAATTGCTAGAAGCAAAAGACATTTACTGGTAGCTTGACCACCTCAGATATGGAGATACCTACTAGTAAGGATGAATTAAAGCAGAGGTCTCCAAACATGGCAACTTTAAAACTTGTGGACTTCAACTCCCAGAATTCTCCAGCCAGCATAGCTGGGAGTTGAAGTCCACAAGCTGCCAAGTTTGGGGATCCCTGAATTAAAGAGTAGCAGTAAACAATTTTTTTAATTGAACAGCCTTTTTGATTTGACAGATGACAATTCCGACCCATCACAACCTACAAGACTTTTTTGTAGTCCAACGTCAAGCCATGGCTGGTTCTAGTAAAAGGATAAATCTATGGTTGACTTCAAGAAAGGTTGACTGGATGTTTTGGGCCTCTGCAGGTTAATTTGCTTTCCAGGAGCTCTCTGTAGCTTCTTCAAAATGTTGGAGGCTAGCAAATACTCAACAATTAAGATCTATGCTCAGGTTTCCCAAAACGAAACATTTCCTCTTTCCTTGATCAGTAGGAGATGTTGCTGATAGTACTAGCTTCTTCTTTAGATATCAGTGGTATCTTTGGGAAGACCACCAACCAATCAGAACAGAGCTGGAAGGGACCTCAGAGGTCTTCTAATCTGACCCCTGCTCAAGCAGGAGGCCCGATACAATTTGAGACAAGTGACTGTCTTAATTTCTTCTTAAAAACCACTCTTGATGAACCATCATGAGAACAGTGACCGTGGGGAAGAAAGTGCTCGTTTCAAATCCTCCCTCCCACCACCAAAAAATGCAAAGCCCATCATAGGAATTCATGCAGCTAATGTCCTGGCCTCTAAGAAATCCCGCACAAAGTTTGCGAGCGAAGATATACTGCTGTTCCTCAATTCCAGAATACGATCCTAACAAAACCCACACTTGACACATGTCACGGGCTATATATACCATTGCAACATGTTGCAGAGCCTTCACTTTGCTCCTTATGCAGCCAAACACCATTGGCAAAAAACACAAGAATAATGGAAGTATATTTTATGATGATATATGTACAGCGTTGCGGTGGGCTGGACAGGAGAATATTCTACTCGTTTGAGCGTTTGCGGAAAAAGCCAAAGACGGTTTGATCTTGACTAGGAGTCTGTCTGCTCGTTGTCGCAACCCAACACCTCCATCCTCAGGGCAATATGTTTGTTCCACTTGAGTGGGTGTATCCTCAAATATTTGGCAAAGAACGGGACATCCAGAAAGTTCATCACGGGCTGGAAATAATCGTGATTTCCCTGGAAAACCTGCAAAAATGAGAGGACGGTAACTGTCACTTTTCTCAGACCCTTTTCACTGGTCAGGAAAAAACAAAATGGACTACAGATAAGTCCTCAACTTACAACAGTTCATCTTTGCACCAAATGGAAAAATGAGAAAATCCCGACGGAAGAGGAAACAATGAAGAACATAATGGAAGGTGCAGAAATGAGTCGATTGACAATGGCAATTAGAGAACAGGAAGAAAAAGATTATTATAAAATTTGGAATTTATTCTATGAATGGCTAGGCAGAAGAGTAAGACATCGAAATATGTGATAATAGTATAATATACCATGGTTGATTGAAGTAGATTGAGTAAGAAAAGGAATATAATTTAATTTTTTGCAACCGTCCGACATGCAAAGTCAATGGGGATAACCCTAACCAGATTCCCTTAACCACCCGTGTTCCTAATTTAGCTGTTTCGGTGCTTCACTGAACAATGGTGGCAAAAAAGGTTGTAAAATGGGAAAATGGTTACTTATAGCAACGGTCTCCCTTAGCAACAGTGTTGTGGCCCATCGGGGGCTGACGGAGGTGGCAGCAGAGTCGGACAGTAGTGAGGAGGTTGGGGAGGAACCTGGGCCAATCCTGGAGGCTGAGGAAGGCTCGGATGAGGGCTCTGCATCAGAGGCACAGATGCAGCCAGGGCAGGCTGGCAGTTATCAGCTGCCTTCAGACTCAGACAGAAGTGAGATGGGGGAATTTCTGGAACTGGTTCCCAGCCTGCGCATGCGCAAGACTACCAGAAGACAAGAACAATTGACAAAGCAGGATCGACTCAGGAGAAAGATGATTGGCCCCTCCCATAGGACATAAAAGAGGAGCGAACGGGATGTGAGCTTTTGCAGGAAGCAATTAGTTCGTCTGGTCGATTCAAGCTTTGAAAAGTTCCGTTTGACTCTGTGTCCAGTTTGGACTTGCCCTCTGTCTGGCAATTCGTTCTCTGGCAGCATTTCAAGTGCAATAAGGTGGATGCTTATAAACATTCCCCTGAAAGACCATTTGTGAAGCCTGGCAGGCTGTGAATGAACGTAATTCACAGCCGTGGAAATAAAAGAGGTTTTTGCCGGGACTAAGATAGTGTTTTATGCTTCCTAAGGAAGCCTAGGTCAGAACAAACAGAAAGCTTGGGCTCAGTTGTGATCGTAAGTTGAGGACTACCTGTATAACCGGCTCAGGAATTCTGGAGGGTGAAATTGACACACCTTAAAGCTACCAAGGTTGAGAAACACTGATTAGACCATAAGGAGAGCATTCCCCAACGAGGGAACATTTAGTCCTATCGAAACAAAAGAAGCAAAAGTCCAGCACAGCTCACTTAACACATGGTTCACAGAGCAACATACATTTTGGGCTCAATTGTGGTGATAAGTCGAGGACTCCCTGTAGGAAGAAATGGTACCAACCTGTTTCTCCCCGTGTTGAAGGACGGATATCCAGTTTTGGCCATCTATGCTGGTGGAAAGACTGAACTCCTTTACAAACATATGGGTGAAGGCAGATTTGGCGCCTTGAGTTATCAATCCTGTCACCCGTACGATCTTCTTAAAGTTTACCTGAAGCCACTCAGTTGTGCTGTCAACCTGGGGGAAAGAGACGGAAATTACAGTCGCTCTATTCTGACCCAGCTCCACAAACACAACAAACTCAAAAGATGCCTTTATTAGGAGCGCTGGCAGCTCCAGCGAAAAGTTTCTCTCGCAGGCTAACAAATCTGTCCGTCAGAGAGATAAATAGTTGTCTGCCACACTAATTCATCTCTACCTCCTGCGTTTTATCCCCAGAGTTAGGGTGGGGCTTCGCTAGCAGTGGTGGCTCTTCCGTCCCAAGGACTGGCCCATAGATTTCTACTGCTCTCCTCTCCTCTGCCTTCTGTAAATCCCACATCAGGCTCTGGACCCAGCTGTTCCTCCTCTTCCTCATCAGCCACCTCCGGACCTGATTCTTCTGTCCCAAGGACCAGCCCATAGGTTTCCACTGCTCTCCTCTCCTCTCCCTTCTGCGCAGCTGCATGTCAGGCACTGGACCCAGCTGTTCCTCCTCTTCCTCATCAGCCACCTCCAGACCTGGGGGCTCTTGACTCTCCATCTAAGGGCTGACAGATAGCCCAGGCACACACACACCTCTCTCTCTCTCTCTCTCTCTGTCTGCCAGCTCCATTTCCTCTTCCCCCTTGGAGCTCCCAGTTTGCCTTGATGCAGACCCTGACTCCCACGCCTCCTCCTCCTCCTCCTCTGATTCAGCAGTGGCCCACAGGCCACAACACGCTCCATCCTTGGAAAACGAAATTTCAGCCTTTCTACTTTCTTTTCCCAATCACGGATTGTGTTAAAAGAATGCAGGTTAAAAGAATCAACTTACAAAAAAGGTCACTTCGTGACTTTCAAATTTAGAACAGCACTGAAAAAAGTGACTCACACTTAACCACTGTTGCAGCATCCCCCGTGTCACCTGATCAAAATTCAGATGCTCAGCAACGGCTTCATGTTTATGACCATTGCTGTGTCCCGGGGTCATGGGATCAACTTTTGGGACCTCCTGACAGGCAAAGTCAATGGGGGAAAAGCCAGATTAAACGACGTCACTAACTTAACAACTGCAACGATTCACTTAATGCTTGTGGCAAGAAAGGTCGTAAAATGGGACAAAGCTCACTTAACAAATGTCTTGATTAGCAACAGAAATTTGGAGCTCAATTGTGCTTGAAAGTCAAGGACTACCTGTACAATATAAAAAAAAGCAACGGACATCTGGACGCAGCAAATACCGCAAAATGGTTGCTCCATCCGATGAAAAAGGCCCAACTAGACATTTATCCAAGACCTGGGACAAAACAGACATCTTTTAAAGACTCATTTAAAAATAGTGGCTCAGTGGCTAAGTGGTTCAGTGGCTAAGACGCTGAGCTTGTCGATCAGAAAGGTCGGCAGTTCGGCAGTTCGAATCCCTAGCGTCGTGTAACGGAGTGAGTTCCCGTTACTTGTCCCAACTTCTGCCAACCTAGCAGTTCGAAACACGTAAAAAGTGCAAATAGAAAAATAAGGACCCCTTTGGTGGGAAGGTAACCGCATTCCGTGCGCCCTGGGCATTTAGTCCTGCTGGCCACATGACCACGGAGACGTCTTCGGACTTTGTAATGGAGATGAGCACCGCCCCCTAGAGCTGGAAACGACTAGCACGTGTGTGCGAGGGGAGCCTTTAAAGATAGGCTAGAGGGGAAGTTGGGCAAAGCCAACATTGCAGCTGGAATGAAAGGAGCCAAAATAACGGAAGACACGGTGCATACAATGAGAAACTAGAGGTTTTCAGGAAGCAAGGCTAACAGAGAAGGGAATTGAATTCTGGGAGTTGAAGTCCCCCCATTTTAAAGCTGCCATGCTTGAAAAACACTGCTGTAGACCTTCAATTTACCTCTGGTCTCCATGCATTTATTCTTCCTTTCAAATTGAGCCGGGCCAGAAAGGGAGACCAAGTAGCAAACACATTGTCAGCCCAAGAGGAGGCAGTAATCTGTTCATTAAGAATGGATTTGCTCTCCATTCCTAGCGGCATGGAACAGCCTAAAGGGAAAGAAAAGAGACAACCGTAGTAGTAACCCACATTTAGAACATAGAATCGTAGCCCTGGAAGAGGCCTTGGAGTTCTTCCAGCCCAAGACCTTCTCAAGGCAGGAGACCTTATACTATCTGTGGTCAAATGGTTGTCCACTCTTGTCCGTTTAACTTCAGTAGCCTCGTTTCTCTACCTCTATCCCTTGTGCCGGATCTTCATTCCTCGAATGGCATTCAATTGTATACATTGCATCCAACTGCTTTTGATCAAAGCATCCTTGTTGCCTTCCTCGTGGGGACCTGGTTAGCAGTGAATTTTTCCCCAGATTTTTAAAATCATACTATTTTTTTTTTACCCATTACAAAGTTAGTCATTTATCTTCTTATTAACCATGCAATCTTGTATTTGTTTGCTCAGCAGTCAACACATGGACCTTTCTCCCAAGTACAGTTGTACACTTGTAGAGTCAGTGAGATGGAGTGATTAAGACATTGAACTGGGACTTAGCTTGAAGTCCAACCTTAGCCACGGAAGATCCCTGGAGACTTAGGGCCTGTCTTCCTCTCTTAGTCCAAAGCACCTCAAAGAGTTATTGCTTTGGTGAAAAATGGGGAAAGAAACTACTAAGCAGGTTTTTGCTCCTATAGGAAAGGTAGCAAAGCTGACTTTTGCAAATCTAATGAATACAAGAATAACAAATGACAGAATTGCAGATTATATTGGTTAGGGAGAAACGTCTCTTTGTGGCATTTTAAGCAACTTCAGTAGCTGTATGTCTCTCTCCGGGTGAGAAAAGTGCTTGATGTGGAGGGTCTTCAAACTTGGCAAGTTTAAGAGTTGTGGACTTCACCTCCCAGAATTCCTGAATTAACATGACTGGAGGAGGAATTCTGGGAGTTGAAGTCCACAAGTCTTAAAGGGGTCAAGTTTGAACACCTCTGATATGGACCTTAAACGTTCTCATTGGGATGACCAGTCCATGGTAGGCAATATGTCTACTACCCCCAGGGGTGTCAAACTCAAGCTACCATAGATGTGCGATTGTGCGTATGTGCGCAGAGACATGTGTGGCAGGTTTGGTGGTGTTGCATGGCATCCTGGTAGTTTCTGAGACCCCACTGCCTCAACCACCCCACCATCCGACGAATGGCAAAAAGAAGGAAAGTTCTTGTTCCATACTGTTCAGGTCGCAGCCTAGCAACTCCATCCTCAAGGTGTTGCGAAAGTTGAAATGCGTTGGGTGGAGACGGAGATAACGGGCTACAATGGGAGGATCGAAGGCATTGTCCTTCACGCTCACTCCATCCACGTTTCCGGAGAATATCTGCAGGCAAGAAGCGAAAAGCGGCTCTGTTTCCATTGGGACATGCAAAGGAGGACAAGAAGAGTGGTACGGTAGCCTAGAGGTACAGCTCTCGCCTCACAATCAGGAGGCTGTGAGTTCGATCCTAGATAGAGGCAGATATTTATCTCTCTCTGGGTCTGTTGAGAATATATCTGCTGAACAAAACTCCACACCGGTGAGAGGAAGGGCATCCGGCACAGGAAGGGCATCCGGCCGGTAAACACTCTGCTAGCTCCATTTAGTTTGCCCATATTCTACCCCGCAAGGGATTATGCGGCCATTAAACGAAGATGATGATGATGATGATGATGATGCAAAAGAGGACAAGAGCTGTTATTAGGGGCCAGCTGGTGTAAGAGATAATCAGGCTGAGCCCAAGGATGGGATCAAACACGCCATCAGTTTGGATTCACAAGATCTATGTCCAGCCCCCTTGACTGGATTCCATTGGTACTTCCATCTAGATTGTTAGTAACAGATTTAACAGATTAACAGGGTTGGAAGTTGTGTATAGGTAACATGAAATAAACTTGTGCTCCTTTTGAACTTAATCTAGAAATCCTGGCTTTCTTGCACCTGATGGCTGGGTGTCCTTGGGCCAGTCCTTTTCTCTCAGCCCTAAACCGTTATCAACTACTTCTGAAAACCTTGGCAAGAAAACTGCAGGGATTTGTCTAGGTAGTCTCCAAAAGACATGACTGAACATTAAAAAAGAAACCTGATTTGCAAACAGCCCAATCCATGTTTGGGCCTCAACATCTCCAGGATGGATTAAGAGAAACGCCAACTCTCTAAATGTTCCTTGTTTATATTTATTACCTGTTTTGAGTTCATTTATTAGAAACTAGCTCGATCCCCGTGCTTCGCTACGAAACTATGTGGTCAGGCTTAGTTTTTGGGGTGGAAAATAAGGGGGAAAAAATTCTGCCTCTACCTACCAGCATCCATCGGTATTCATCTGGCTAAAGTCCTGTCAATGTGTGAGAGAGTTGAAGACTGTTTGGAGACTGAAACAGTATTTGCTGTTTGTGAGCAAGGAGACAGCAAGGAGCCTGGGCGTGGCTTAGCTCAACTGTTCTGGACTAAAGCTGCTTGGTGCTGTGAAACTTCTATCCTCTGCTTGTGTTTTGCATTTGGAACAGATTTCTTTTCAGGTGGGAAGGGGGAGTAGAGCTCCTTAGCATCAGAGCGTGTTAATAATAATATACAAAATACTAATGCTCTGATGGTCATTTTAAAAAAAGTCCTTTCTTAGTCAGCACCTAGAACGCAAGAGGAACATACGTGCCAAATTTCAAGTTTGTAGGCTTTACAGTTCTGGAGATTTTGTGTGGTATTTCACTTTTATAGGTATAGATTTATTACCTGTTTTGAGTTCATTTATTAGAAATCAAATCTAAAAGACTTCAGAGACAGAGCTCCAAAGTTTTCTCAGTTGCAACATGGAAGAGCTTTTCCACAACATTCTCTGAACTGAGTTTTTGATTTCTCCATCTAGCCCATGCCCCAATATTTTTATGCCCATCCGAATCTTAACCAGGTCAAGCCCTGCTTAGCTTCTTTCTAGCCACAGTGAAAGCTCAGCTGAATAATTCGCCCTGGTTTGACTTCTTTCCAGAAGATGCTAAAATGTGCATTGTTCCAGGGAGCTTTTGCTGATCAAACCAACCCCATGAAGGTTTTCTCATTGTTAATTGTTAATTGAACCCCAGGCTGTGATTGTTACTGGGTTATCAATATTGTTGTTTGTTCAAATATTGCATGCATCTTTCTTAATTTGCCTTATGGTGGATGTTTTGTTGTGGTGTCTTATCTTATTATTAACTGCCTAGCAGATTATATATAACCCAAATGAAGAAATAGAACAGAACAGAATAGAATGGGGAATAGAATAGAATTGTGCTTCCCATATAAGTTAACCAAAGCCAAGGAGGGATCCACCGGGAGTTACTCATAGCCCAACAATCCTTCAGGGATCTCTTCCTGTTTCTTTCAACAGTGTGTGAGTGGATTTGGGATGCTAAAATAGGATTCATACAATGCAATAGGGCTTTAACTTGGTTTGGATTCAACTGCTTGCTCAACAGATCATGGTTAAAAACCAACCTTTTAGAAAATAGGAAGGCTTTCAAAATGAAGAATGTGCATGTTACCGTACCTATATACCCTTTTCTTTAAATGTAGAATAGAATAGAATTAGGAATAGAGAAGAGTAGAGTAGAGTAAAATAGAGTAGAGCAGAAGAGAAGAGAATTAGAAATGGAATGGAATGGAATGGAATGGAATAGAATAGAATAGAATAGAATAGAATAGAATAGAATAGAATAGAATAGAATAGAATAGAATAGAAATGTTATTGTCACTTTGAATGTACACTAGTCAGCATACGCTAAAATAAAATTTCACTGAATTCAGCTCTCAAAATATAACCATTATGCATATACCCCATGTACACACACATACTGTATATGACACAGAGAAACATCACAGTCTAATTCGAATGTATACATATACATGGCGGGGGAGGGAGGAAGAACCTTGTGAGTTTACAACACATCTGGCATAAGCAAAAAAGCTGTTACAGAACCTAATAGTCCTTCTATAGATTACAGCACTGCCACCTCCTGTCAGTCATTCATGTATGCATCCCATTTATCAGCAAGTATAATCTGAGCTGTAAAAGCTCCTGAAGTCCTTGTGCCAAGCAAATCCACATTCTGCATTAATACACACTGGATTCTTTTCAGCGATATGCCTAATATTCGAAATGCTGTGTTATGTTCTTGCTTTGTTCTCCTTTTGTGGTGCTTAAGAAAGACGGGAACATAGCTATTCTTGCATTCTTTCTCAGGCACAAGTAATCCTCTATTTAGCCTTTTTTTCTACTCCAATTATAATGTTTTTGGTTTTCTCATATTGAAGAATTATTTGGCAACTGCAACCTCAGATTTAATGCAGCCTTTTCCATCCCAGATATATTAAATCCATTGTTATTATTGCAATCACCAGGAGATAACTAAAAGTGGAAACCAGCTCTAAACTTCAACTCTGCACATAGCAAATTTAAAGATTTGCAGACTCAACATGTCTGAAGCGTACTGCTGTTTTTATTTACGGGTTGACCCTCTTGAACATGTTCTGACCAAGGCTTCCTGAGACAGTAGCAATCACACGCTGTTCCCAAAAGCCTTTTTTAAAATTATTTTAACGGCTGTGAATTATATGCATTCACAGCCCGTAATGAGTCCCAAACAAATAGTCCAACAGAAGTCTGCCACAGTCTTTCGGGATAAGGCTGATAAGCACCCACCTTTATCTCCCTTGAAAGGCTGCCAACAACTAAATTGCCAATTAGCTCTACAAGGCCAAACGGAGCACAAAGTCAACATGGAGCTACAGATTTTAAACCAACCAGAATGAACAAAGTTGCTTCCTGCAAAGGCTCATGTCCCTTTGCTCCTCCTTTATGTCTTATGGGAGGGGCCAATCATCTCCAAGCCTTACTCCCGAGTTGCCCCTTTTGTCTTAACTATTCTTGCCTTTTGGCAGCTCTGCGCAAGCGCACACTGGGAACAGGCTCCTCTGCCTCGCTGCAATCAGATTCTGGAGGCTCCAGAGTCAGCACATAATTTCCAGATGGCCCCGGCCCCATCTCTGTGTTGGATGCAGGACCCTCGACCGAGCCCTCCCCAGACTCCCGGACTGGGCCATGTTCCTCCGCACTGTCCAACTCTGCTGCCAGCTCTGCAGGCTTCCAGTGGACCACAACAGAACATGCCTTCTAGCATGAAATGATGGTTTGCATTCTCAACTGTATTAGTACATTTTCAAACATCTTTCTGGTTTCTGATTACAAGAGAATCGCTAACCAAAAAAAAATTACCATTTGAGAGTTGGTAGAATTGCCTTTATAACTCTTCCAAGTCTCTCCATCCAGACTGTAGAAGATTTGAAACTGGGAGATGTAATAGTTGGTTAATTTCTGCCGAGCTCCTTGGGTCTTGATTCCATGGATGATCTTGGATTGGAGCAAGTCCACCTGGACAACAAGAACACTCTTTTCTTTAGGAAAGCAAAGTTTCTATAAAGCATCTTTCCTCACCTTCCAGATGTTTAGGAGGGCACCTCCCAGAGTTCCAAATTCAACACAGCAATCATGGACTCACCACACATTGAAAAAGGCTACCATAGTAGAAAGTTATTGGCAGATGGAACCAAATGGACCACAGCTAAATATATCAATGGCCTAAGCTAGTAAAAAAAATAAGGGGTCCTTGGTATTCTCTGAGCTTGCAGATGTTTCATTACCCAAACTAATTAACCTCATCAATGCTCTGCATTATCCCTGCTGTCAACACTGATGGCGTTACCTAGTTGGCAGTGGTGGGATTTAATTTTTTTTGCTACCGGTTCCATGGATGTGGCTTGGTGGGCATAGCAGGGGAAGCATACTGTAAAATCTCCAGTCAGAGATGGCATTTGCCACCTCTACTCAAAAGTTCTGCTACTGGTTCTCCAGAACTGAACCTGCTGAATACCCACTCTGTTAGTCGTATAACGAAACATCTGCAAGAAAACAACCAGGCTCAGGACCCCTCAGGTCAACCCTGAAGCTACAAATATTCTCCCTTGTTACTAGTAAACAGTAGCTTCCTCGGTTCACAAAGCAAACTAGAAAAGCAAGACTGATGATGGCATTTTCAACTTTTCTGTCTCGAAGGATGAGAAATCGACAGAATGCATAGGGAAGGGAAGGGCTTAGCTACAGAACTCAAATGCATTGCTTCTCATGCATTGGGAAATGATAAGATAGGACACAAGGTCTTCTAGAAGATTCTGAGGAGAAGAAGAAGGTTTATATAAGGATAACTATCTGGAAGCTGTCCATTTTGCCTATGTCAAAAGGACATTTGTCCATTAAACAGAAATGGCTGTTGACCAACATTCGTACTGCCACTGGTCTCCTTAGGAGCTGTCCTACTACCTTCAAAGAACCTACTGCTGATCTAGTTCTTGGGCTTCCCTCCTAGTACACGTACTACATGGTAGGATACATGAACCACCTGTCACCTTACCTCCCTTTAAGACCAAATATCACCACTTAAGATCACCGTAGGGAATTTAAAGGGTGACTGTCGTTTCAAATGGTGGCAGAGGAATCATTGCTATTCAGATATATTAGACCTAATCTAGCTTGAAAATTTTCAAGCGCAATAAAGCTGCTAATCTTAAATAGCGTGACAAGTTCTAGTTCTTGTGTATTACAAGGTCACTTTAGTGAATTACTTTCACTTTCTCTATTGTCCAAAAGAAGAAGAGGAGTTGATAATCATGCATCTTATAATGCTTGTTTGTTATTTACCTGTAGAACCTCTCCATCCTATTGGTCAAGCTTACCTGGATCCAGGAGTTCTTTTGCTCACTCCTCCAAGCATTGATTGAGCCAGAGTTGTCCAACCTGGCCAGACTGGGGACCCATCCACCTTGGACCAAAGGAAAAAGACAAGAGAGTAGAACGTGAAGATTTGGCAAGTTGTTCCTCGCAGCCAATTAATCCAACCAGAAAAACCTTGACAGAATTCTTCAGAGAAGTCAGAGTCTCCACACACAATGCTGGGTCCTTAGAGTGTTTTTGCCTTTTGCAAAGGCAAAAACCTTTTGAAACCAGGCTTATATTCCCTGGAGGGAGGGGCCATTATGTTGCATCCTTACTCCCAAGTTGCCTGTGCTGCTTCTCTTCTATGAGTCATCCTGCGCTGATGCGCACTTGGCACAGGCTCCTCGGGAAACTCCTCGTCACGGCTGCCAGCCCCCACAATCCCTGAAGGCGGCAGTCCACTCCCTGATGGTTCTGGCCCCTCATCAGAGTCATTGCTCTCCTCAGCCATCTGCACCTGCTGCCGGCTAACCACAACACTGCAATAATATTTTGTCTTCCCCAAACTACTTATATTAAAATAGATGGATAGATGGACTGGTGATAGAAGCAACCATCCAAGAATGTATATAATTGCAAATAATGTTATGATTTCATTGAATATTTGTTAGTCTTTTTCACAATAAAATCACGATCTTCTTCTTTTAATGATTCCATAAACCAGGCAACTGGACAGTCTGGGCAACTGAACAGAGCAGAGTGTTTACTGGCCGGATGCCCTTCCTATCACCAAAGCAGAGTTTTGTATCAGCAGATACATTCTCATTGTGCCCTGAGAGAGAAATATCTGCCTCTACTTAGGATCAAACTCACAGCCTCCTGATTGTGAGGTGAGAGCTCCACCTCTAGGCCACCGCAGTGCTCCTTTTTCACAATAAAATATTCCTAGACAATTAACCAGTGGAATAGCTTGCCTTCCGAAGTTGTAGGGGCTTCATCACGGGAGGTTTTTAAGAAAAGACTGGATTGCCGCTTGTCCGAAATGGTATAGGATCTCCTGCTTGAGCAGGGGATGGACTAGAAGACCTCCAAGGTCCCTTCCAGCTCTATTCTGACTGACCATGTCTACACAAAATCCCCCTTCTTTCTTAACAGAACCCCTCCCCAAAATAGAAGAAAACCAGGATCCAATCAGGGAAGAAACCAAAATTCCAATTCTCACCAGAGTGTTCTGAAGCCGTGATCTGAGAATCAGCAATATATCCTGAAGCTAAGCCCAGAGGACTCTGGCAATCTGAAACCAAAGGGTTAAAAAAATACGGCAATAAAAATGACCGTTGATCACACGATAGACCCGATTTTTGAGTTCTTTTTTGTGGCAGACCTTATGTCAACTCATAAAACATTCCTGTGCCTGTTTTAGTAGTTGCCATTAAAAACAGGGAGGAGAGAAAGGAAATCTGGAGAATCAGTGCAGCAGTTTGAAAGCGAACATTCCAACTCTTTATCTTTAAAAGACTGTAACTAAAATACCAGAGTTTTTGCCTGTGAATATATTGAATTGGAGAACATGAATGATGACACCCAGCCCTGTGAATGTGCTCATCAATTGGAGAATCTGATTGATGACACATCCGGGGGGAAAAACAGGGTCACAGATGACTGTAAATTATATAGGCCAGAGTTGGCTTCATACAGGGCATTGCCAGTATGTCACCTCTAATGAATCCTTTGAAGTTTTTTGAAGTTTGGCTCGAGGATCGTGATTAAATTAGGGCAATTGCTGCAATCCTGACACCTTAAGCCATTGCGGCAGAAGTAAAATGAGCACGCAGCATGGTTCTTAAGCGAATGCTGTGGTCCTTAAGCAAACCGATGGTTCTCTGTGGATGTGGTTATGCCAAAAGCCAGAAGGAACTGCCAGTTATTGGCAACAATGTCATTAACAATGGCCACGTGGCCATGAGATGTTGCATACCGTCATGAATACTGGTAGTCCTCGACTTACGAGCACAATTGAGCCCAAAATTTATGATGCTGAGTAAGAAATTCGTTTTGTGCCTTTTAATGACTTTTCTGGTCATATTTGTTAAGTGAATTACTGCAGTTGTTGAGTTAGTCACATGGCTTCCTCGTTGACTGTGCTGGCCAGAAGGTCACAAAAAGGGACTACATGACCCCAGGACACCGCAACCGTCATAAATATTGCCAAGGATCCAAATGTAAATCATATGACCCTGGGGATGCTGCAATCAATGGTTGTGTAAGTGCAAAAAATGGTCATGTCACTTTTTCCAATCTCGTTATAACTTTGGTCACTAAATGAACTGTTGTAAGCCAAGGAGCACCTGTATGGGCAGGTTGCCAGTGCCTGACAACCTGACCGTGATCACATGACCATGTGGGGCGCAACCATTATAACTTTCAGGACATCAACAGGGGTAGGATTCTATCGGTTCGGATCGGTTCGTGTGAACCGGAGGTTAAATTTGCATGTGGTTTGCTGAACCAGTATTTTGAACTGACCAGCTGGCCCTACTCACCCCTCCCCTCCCCGGAGTCTCCACGTGACCCATTTTTGATGCAGGTAAGTGCAGGATCTGCACGGAGGCTCTGGGAGTGGGAAAATGGCCCTTTTGGGACTACCGGAAGTCGCAAAATGGGCCCTTGTCCAGCTTCCAGAAGGCCTCCAGAGCCTGGGGGAGGCTGTCTTTGCCCTCCCAGAGGCCCGAGGGAAACCTCTGAACCCTTGGGAAGGTGAAAATCACCTTGGAAAGTTCCCGTAGGCCACACTCACCATGGCCATGCCAACCCAACAGTTTCGGCAGTGAACCGATTGCTGGGATTTTTGAATCCCACTCCTGGATGTAAGTCCCCCCTTTTTTTAGGTTAGATACAACTTCAAGTGGCTGTGACTTGAAGCTGTTGTCGAGGACCTCCCTAAAGATGCTCCGTTTCTCACCTTTGTTGTACACGAGGAAGAGGGCACTCATTCCTGCCTGTTCGTGTTCACTCACCACACACTCCACTCGCCAGATCCCGGGATGAGATGGTTTCATTTCCACAGTCTCAAAGGCACCTGCCCGAAGTTGCAAGAATAACAGACAATCAACAGATCCCTTGTTCTGGCTGCTAAGTTTTATGGAACAAGATTTCAATCTCTGATTGTATAAGGCTAGTGTCCATGCCCATAGGATAGGTTGATTTTAAGGATTGCTAGTATACTTGTAAATCATTGGTGGCATAGGAGTGGAGAGGGGGAAGAGGAGGAGGAAGGAGAAAGAGAAGAAGAGGAGGAGGAAGAGGAGAAAGGAGGAGGAAGGAGAAAGAGGAGAAGGAGAAGAAGGAGGAGGAGAGAGGAGGGGAGGAGGAGGAGGAGGAGATGATGCTTCAGTGGACTATGGATTCCTCACTGGTTTAGTTTTATTTATGCAATTTCTATTCCACGGATCAGGTTCTGCTTAAGCAGAGACTGGACTACCATTTATCAGGAATACTGTAATCTAGTCATTGAATTTCTGCATTGTGAAAGGGTTGAAGTAAATGATTGTTAAATCCATTTTCATCCCTGTGTTCTCCCAGAAATAAAGGGAGGAGAGGTCAAAGATGACAAAAAAAAAAAAATCCTGGCTCATTTTAAGCTTATTTGTAGCTCTGTAAATCAGTTTATCTCCACCTCAACAACTTTAACAAGTGTTAAGTTCAACTTCCAGAATTAATGACCTGCTGGGGAATTCTGAGAGTTGAAGTCCACGCATCTGGAAAGTCGCTGAGCTTGAGAGAAACAGCTGCTTCAAATACAGTGACATGTCAGGAACGAACTAGAGGATGTATGTGGCTACCTCTAAGTTTATCCTTCCATGGTTAAAGAAACTGTTCTTACTAAATTCAGGTACGAACCGGCAAAAGGTTCAGCCACTCATACTGTGCCTCACCAGGAAAGAGGTTGTAGATGGCCAAACGGTACTCCTCAGCCATTCGGATAGTGAACACCTGCCCATGGAAGTGGACAGCGTGGATGTCCTCAATGCCACCTGCGTTCAGCAGGTACCACCTGACCCGTTGATGTAGACCCATCACAAGGCCTGGCAACGTGTCTCTCACATGTCCATTGATAGCTGAGAAAATAGAACGAAGAACAGTTCAAATATAATTCAGCCCCGTCTTAATTAGCAACTTAGAGTCTTAAGTACAATTGAAGAATACTATTGCTAAATTTGCAAATGATACAACAGTGGTGGGACTCATCTCCAGGCGGTGGGGGGGAGAAGTCTGCCTACCGAGATGAGGTGGACCAGTTGCTTTCATGGTGTAGAGACAATAAGTTGGTCCTCAACACTAATAAGACCAAGGAGCTTATAATGGGCTACAGAAGGAACAGATCAGACATCCAGCCCTTGCTTATCGATGGACTGAGTGGAGCAAGTGGCCAGTTTTAAGTTTCTGGGTCAGAGGTGGTATTCAGCAGGTTCTGACCAATTCTGGAGAACCAGTAATGGAAATTTTGAGTAGTTCAGAGAACCGGCAAATGGAGACCTCTGACTGGAGATTTTGCAGTATCCTTCCCCTGCCACCCCCACCAAGCCACGCTCACGGAACCGGTAGTAAAAAATGTTGAATCCCACCACTGTTCTGGGTGTTACCCTAAAAGAGGACCTGACCTGGGGTGCTCACATTGCAGCCCTGATCAAAAGGACCCAGCAAAGATTATACTACCTGAGACTTCTCAGAAAACAAAACTGAATGAAAAACTGCTGGTGACCTTCTCCCGCTGCACCACAGAGAGTATCTTAACTTACTGCACCTGTGTAGGGTTTGCCAGTTGCACAACGGCAGATAGGACAGCACTCCAGGGGGTGAACGTCATTGCCCAGAGGATCATTGGTTGCCCTCTCCCCTCTTTGGAAGAGCTTTATAGCTCCCACTGCCTTAAGAAAGTTCAAACCATTCTCAAAGATCCATCTCCCCACTTTTTTTTAACTATTACCATCTGGCAGATGGTACAGGATAATAAAAACAAGGACAAATAGGCTGAAAAACAGCTTTTATCCCAGGGCAGTAACTCTATTGAATGGTGTTTGATTTTGTTGTACGAAGTACAATGACAATAAAGTAAACTAAACCAAACTAAATTTTATGAAAATTCACTGCAGTAACATAGTTGTTGAATGAATCTGGTTTCTCCATCAGCTTTGCTTGTCTGAAGGTCGCAAAAGGGGATCACATGAGCCAGGGACACTGCAACTGTCATAAATACGAGCCTCTGGCAAGTGTCTGAATGTTGGTCATGTGACCTTAGGGATGCTGCTACGATCGTAAGTGTGAAAAAGGTCATGAGTCACTTTTCTTCAGAGCTATTATACCTTTGAATGAACTGCTGTAAATCAAGGATTACCTGTATTTTGGAGGTTAGTTATGTTCTGACCTAGGCTTCACCAAAATCACGAAGCAGATTCCTCGTCCCAACAAAACCCTTTTTTATTAGGCTAATGTGAATTCCTCTCATTCATATCCAGCAAAGTCCTGGCAAACAGTCTTTCAAGGGTGAATTGCAACCACAGACCTAATCAGTCTGGAAGATTTGCAGGCCGATAGCTTCCAAGTGCAACACTTGTACAAAGAAATACTTGGCAAGGAGTCTCTGAGAGTCACAAACAAATCACACTAATTAAATGAAGTAATTGTCTCCTGCAAACACCACTTCCCTTTCTCTCCTCTTTTATTCCCTATGGAGGCGCCATTCACTCTCCACCTGTGGCTTTACTCCCCAGTCGACCCTTGTTCCTTAGCTTTCCTTTCTCCTGGCAGCTCTGCGCATGTGCACATTGGGAACAGGCCTCCAGCTGTTCCTCTGCCCCACTGATCTCCAACTCCGAAGGCAGCTGATAACTGTCAGAAGGCCCTGGCCCCATCTCTGCCTCTGATGCAGAGCCCTCTTCAGAGCATCCCCCAGACTCTGGGACTGTCCCATGATCCTCCCCAACCTCTTCACTGTCCGAGTCTGCCACCAGCTCCACTGGCCACTGGTGGACCACAACAAGTTGGGAGTCTAGAAAGAGAAGCAGGAGAGAACAGAGATGGAAGGAAGGTCCTTACCGTAGAAGGTGTGGTTGCTTTTAAGGACAGGATCATCCATCTGGATTCGGCAAGGAGACGGGCAGTTCCTTTCAAAGTTCTCAGCAAAATACCAACTCTTCGTTTCATCAAAGATGGTGAAGAGTAAGGAGAACTCTTGAATAGACAATTGTCTGGTGTGTGTGGTGCGGAGAACCCCAGCCTGGCAAATAATCAGAGGTCCAATAAGCCCGGAATGCAAGTCTTTTTCCTGAAACAGAAGAGGGAGGAAGAGAAGCAGAAAAAAAGAATAATATTGCTTTAGAACTGTCTTATTATTTTTTTAAAAAAAATTCATTCAGAACATCCCAGGGAATGCTTACAGGAGTGTGTTTGTTTATCATTAGAAATGCATTAAAACACCCTTGAAATTGTCTTTTTATTATTTGCTTTGAATGTTAATATATTTGGCTTTAATGCTGGCTTTACAATTCACAGTTGTAACTGTATAATTTACAACAGAGATATAATGTGCTTAACTAACACAAGGCTATTTTAATTTCTGTCGAAAGAGCTGGCTTAGTTAATAACCCACCGTTTATATTATAAACCACCATTTTATTATAATCCAAACAGTTGCATCATAAATCGCTTTATTATTATATTAGTTGTTATTTTATTACAAACCAGCGTATATGTACACTGGCCATACATCCTTTTATTGTAAAGGACAGTCCTTTGGAATTTATATATTTTTCGAAAATGCACTTTTCTCCCTTATTTGGGTCATTTATCTGGAAAGCAAAATTTAAATTTGACAGAAGCCTTCCTAACTTATTTTGCACATCATTTTTTTTTTAAAGAATTCATCCGAACAGAGATTGTGGTGCTCAATCTGTACAAATTCCTGATCTGATTTTTCAGGTTGCTGTATCCCTAAACCAGAGGTGGGTATTCAGCCAGTTCTGACCAGTTCTGGAGAACCGGTAGCGGACATTTTGAGTAGTTCGGAGAACCGGCCAATCCCACCTCTGATTGGCCTCGCCCCCATCTATTCCCTGCCTCCTGAGTCCCACCTGATTGGCTGGGTCTTCTTTGGTTGCCCTGCACAGGAGAACAGAGCTGGAAAGCAGGTTAGTGGGGTGGGGAGGGAATGGGGATTTTGCAGTAACTTTCCTCTGCCACGCCCACCAAGCCACGCCCACAGAAACAGTAGTACATTTTTTTGAATCCCACCACTGCCCTAAACATCTGATATTGGTAACCCCAGTAGTAAATAAGAATTCGCCATTTACCAAGTTAACACTGGAAAAGTAGGCCCATGCTTTGCAGTCGAATTCACTGGTACTAGGAGCCATTTCAGGCAACACCTTGAGGGAGTACTGGCGAACCTGGTTAGGCTGAACAGCCTCTGGTCTCTCGTATTCTCTATCTTCCTGACTGCCTTCATATGGCAGTAAGTTAGAATGGAAAGAATAAGGTCGGGAAGCCATGTTCTTGAAAGTCACCTAATATGAGGGAGAAATACGCGAAGTAGAATTAGGAGAAGGGTGAAGAACGCACAGACTTTGAGCTATGGGAGATCCTAAACCTTCCTTCTTTATTCTAGGAGCCATGGTGGCGCAGTGGTCAGAATGTGGTATTGCAGGCTAACTCGCTGCTCACTGTCAGTAGTTTGATCCTGATCAGTTCAAGGTCAACTCAGCCTTCCATCCTTCTAAGGTTGGTAAAAAGAGGACCCAAATTGTTGGGGGCAAAATGCTGGCTCTGTAAATTGTTTAGAGCGGGCTGTAAAAAAGTACTATGAAGTGGTATATAAGTCTAAGTGGCTATTGCTGTTTTCTAGATCCTTGGAAATCTTAATGGTGAAAACTATCAACAAAAGCCACTTGAAGCACGGTTGGTCTTTACCTTTAGGAAGCCATTAGAAACAGAATTTTCCCAGAAGTTTTTTGGTGACCATAATGTCCAGAATGATTGTAACTGTAGCTGTGTTTTGAATGATTTATTGATTATTGTTTTAATTTAAGCTATGGGTGTTTTATTTTTATTACTGCAGAGCCTTAGGATTGTGGTGAGTGGAAACAAGCAAATAAAACCAAGGAGGTGTGATTTATTTAGAACCTTCAAAGAGCTGGTTTCATTTATCGTATTTTGGATGTGAGTTACACACCAGACGAGCAGAACAAACCAACCCTCGGGTTCCGACATTGCTCGCACAAAAAAAACCTGTTATGTCTACGTTGGCTGGTTCACCTTTAGAGAAAGAAGAAAAAGAGAACAAGGAATTAGAGCCATCTTTTATCCCACAACTTATCCTGAGGTGGTCAGATAATGATCCAATATTTTCATCTTAGAACTGCTGTGATTTTCACCTTGACAGTCTCAAAATGGCTGAGTTGGAGATTGCAAAGAAGATAGGCTAGAGACTTCAATGTGGCAAACATAGATGAGGGATTTAAATGACAAAATATTCCTTTTTTATAAATAAATAAAAAGTCCACTTTAATTATCGGAGATTTGACCCGCTAATATTTTCCACCCACAGATCTATATCTCACCACAATTGTATCTTCAACCTGTCCACGGATGAATGGTCCCAGAATACCCAAATGTTCATCTAGCTCTCCACGGACTATCTGTCGTGTAAAACTGCTGTCAAAATATTCTTGGAAAACAACTTTCTTATAACTTCTAGAGAGCTTTCTCCAGTTGGTCCTCGGATCACTGCGCATAGAACACAAGCAATTGACGTGATGAAATAAAACCTTTTATTTGTATCTAGAGCTAGATGGGCTAAAATTGCATGTAATCTGTAATATTTCTCCATCCTTTCTCTCTTGTTAGTCTTGTTAGTCCCACATCCCAACTCACTGCAATGAGTTCTTCTTATGCTTTCTGGAAGTATGTTTTAGTTATGCTGCTTGGTTAATTACAGCTCTTGGCTAGCATTGAGCAAACTGTCTTTTCTCAAATCTTTGGTGAATGTTTCTATTTACAAAACATGGCAGCGGTTCTACGGTTCTGAACCACAGCAATAGTTCAATGGCAAAGAGTATAAAATGAGTATTGAACTCCACCCATGAATTCAGTCATAACTGTTATTTCGGACTCTGTTCTCTTTCGACAATCAAGTGGCAATATTGCTCTAACAAAAACATTTCCTGACAGTGAGAACAATTAATCAGTGGAATGGCTTGCCTCCAGAAAGTGAGTGCCTCCAACACTGGAGGTTTTTAAGAAGGGTCTGGATTACAATTTGTCTGAAATGGTATAGGGCCGTGATGGCAAACCACGCATGCCACAGGTGGCTTACAGAGCCATTTGTGCGGACATGCAAGCCCCACCCAAACTTACCTGCACTGCACATGCGCGTGCCTCCCAGCTGATTTTTGACCCATTGAGGCCTTTTTCGCCCTCTCAGAGGCTCAAAGGAAACTTCTGCAGCCTTTGGAGGCTGAAAAACGGGCCCATTTTTCCGTCTCCAAAGGCTACAGAGGCTTCCCTCAAGCCTCTGGGAGACCGAAAAAGGCCTCAAGCGGCTGAAAATCAGCTGGGAGGTACGCGCATGTGTGTTGCAGGTAAGGGGGTGGCATGGGGGGGGAATGGCACGCACATGCACAGGGGGCGTGGGGCGGGGCACACACTGCTTTCTGGGTGCTGCCACGCGAGTGCATGCGCAATTTTCAGCACAGGAGCCCAAAAAGGTTAGCCATCAATGGTATAGGGTTTCCTGCTTAAACAGGAGGCTGACCTCCAAGATCTCTTCCAACTCTGTTATTCTGTTATTTAAATAATATTAATATTGACTTTGAACTAACAAATAAAAACAGGGTTTTAATTTAGCCACAGAGCCCACTGAATGACCTGAGTAATTTGGGCAAAGGGATGGGAAAAACTTACCTGTCTCTCAGATATGGGGAGGGAATAGAGCCACCGTAATCCCATGTCACCTCAACTGCAGCAATGTAATATGGACGGATTTTCCCAGTGAACATCCGGGGATCTTGTTCATCTTCATAGATATCGAACTCCTCCTTGGACTCCTCTGCATTGCTATATTCATCATAGTCGAATTTCTCTTTCATAGGTCTTGAGAAGTTTTCTCCCGCTGGTGGGTTGACATCTAAGGAGGTTCTGGAGACCTTCACATGAAACTCGGCCCCCGAATCTTTGCTGAGTGGGATTCCCACTTCTTCCTTTCCTTTGAATACTGCTGATTCATCTTTTAAGCTGGGAGTTTCGCTTTGTTCATCATTAAACCCATTCATTTCTTTGGAGCTATTGATGTCCTTCAACAGCTGCCCTTGAACGCTCTGGTTGGATGATGGAAGCTCTTGAGAAAACCTATCGTTTGCTGATGGAGTTTGTTGCAGCAAGATTTTCGCCTCCTCTCTCTTAATAGTAGCTTTCAAAGATTCGTTTCTTAATGTTTGTTCTTGATCTCCATTAGGCTTCCTTAAGTGTGACTGCAAAAGAGTTTCTGGTCCAGCTTGTCTCATAATTGGTGCATCTTTGGGAGAGCTAAATGGGCCAGATGTGCGTGCTGGTTCTGTGTTTTTCAGAGAAAGTAAGTTGATTTCTGAAATATTTCCTTCTGCAAAAACATTTGAAGTCAGCCCTTGCTTTGTTTCCATATTATGGTCTCTTGTTTCTGTCATAACATGATGAGGAGTCGCAGTGGTATTGAATACATTGTTTATTGCAGGGGATAAGCTTAGATTATATTGGATGATGTTCCATAGAGAAGAATATGAAGCTGTGGTTCTTTCATCATTTGTTATCGGATGATCTCCTTTAGCTCTACCTGTTAAGGGAGGTCCTGTTATAAAAGACTCAGTCTTATCGCTTGTCTTGAGGAAGCTGAGCAATGGCTGAACTCTTTCATCGCTCTCTCTAGAAGTTTTAGCTTTGGAATCTGTTCTAGCAGCTATTTCATCCAACAGGACTTCCTGGGATTTTGCAGACCTCTCTCTCAAGTGCCTCCTACAACCATGGGAATGCTGTTGACAGGCCATTGACTTTGTCCCATATGTTGTCATTTCTGGGCTCTCTTGGTTTGGTTTTGACTGGTTCTTTTCTGGGTTAGAACTTATATTCTTCCCCAGGCCAGCTGGCTGTGATGGAGAGGTTCCTTCTAGGTGTAAAATATCTCCTTTCCCAGATAAATTTACCTGGGGAATCCTTAAAATTGACCTATTTTGCGTAACGTTTTGCTCCACAAATACATTCAGGACTCTATGGGAATTTGTAACACTGGTCTTACTGGATGCAGCTTTGAATTTGGGCAAAGATTCTTTTCCTGAGAGATGCTTATCTTGGTTTGTTTCTTGAAAATCTCCTGGGAGTGGCAAGCTATCTCTTCCAGTGTTAGTAGAAGAGAGATTTATAGAGAATCTGTCATAGTCATTTTCAATATCATTATCATGGAGAGACCTGTCCATAATATCAATCCATTTATCTGAACTCATCGCCTCCTCTCTCTTTGGAACTAAGGGATTTTGTCCCTTCAAAAGATTTGGCAATCCAACCGTTCGATTTATCTTGAGCTCCATAATCTTCTTGCTCTCATTACCCTGCGGAGTCTTCCTCAGAGGTTTTGCATTGATTGCTTCATTGTGGGGCACTGTATGAATATCATTGTTACCAAGAGAAAGAAGTTCACTTACAGATGTAGAGTTTCCGGGACCATTAGTTGGCCTATGAATTCCTGCGTCAAGAGCTTTTCTATCTAGATTGGCTGAACTTGCTAACGAAAGGTTATTATGAAGTGATATTTCCTGTGCGAGTGGTGAGTTTTCTGAAGGAGAACGTTCTTCAAAACTTTGCTTCGGTAGAGGTTGTTCTTCAATGGAGAAAGCATCCATGGGCAACATGTCAAACAAGGGTTCATCCAAGGTTAAGGGTTCCCCAGGAGAGATGAGGGGGTCAGTGGAATTCTTGTTGTGGTTTTTTTTGAGAAGATGGTTAGATTGCTCAAGGCACTTCATCCTTCCATCTTCTGAAAGTGAGGTAGCATTTGGGCATTGTTGGAGATGTCTACTTGTCTTGGAGAAACCTCTTGCCTGTAGGGTATTGGCTTCACCGATATAATCTGATGGAATGCCTTCATCATAGTAATCTTCATAGTCCTTGCCAACGTGCTCTTCTTCGTGACATACGAAAATACTTAACTTAGCTCTCATACCTTGTTTTCGAAAATTAGGATTCAAGCATCCCAGCATCCATTTGCCTGTCTCAGAGAAAAGGAAAAACCAAAGACTTAAACAACATACACATTATATCAGAGATGCATTATCTAGGACCTGGTATCTGACTTAGTATGATCTGGAAACCGTGACGAAACCTTCAAAGGTTATTACCAAATTGTTGCAACTGGAGAAAAGGTTTAAGTCAGGGAGTATGACCTCTGATATGCCAGTCAGAAACCAAGAATGGCCTTCAGCCCTCAAACAGGGGTGCACCTGTCAAATTTCTAGCAACACAAGAAATAAAGATTCATAATGAATCTCATTGGTCAATCTTTTTGTTGTCAAGGAGGTAAGAGCATTATGAAAATGGAATAGTGAGCCCATTAAAGTGATTCTGAGAACTATTTAAATCCCTTTGTCATTGAATGCAAACTAGCTTGTTTTTTTGTCTATCTCAGACTGAATTGAAATGTCCATCATTTCATCATTAATAACATTTTCAATTACTCCCATTTTTTCCCCAATTCTAAAATCAGCCCTAAAGATCTCCTTATTTTGTATCGCTCAGCATTGGTTGCACTTTCTGCTAGCTATAACTCTTAACTGTCGGATTTTAGGAAATATCTAAAAGTTGGGCTACTTTCTTTCCAGGAGAAGTTTTTTTTAACTGTGTCCTCTTTTATATCTGGGATTTGGATGAAGGGACTTAATGATATTATTGGTTTATAACTGGTACATTTTCACCCCGAGTATCAAGAGGACACCTGTTGGATTCCAATTTGTAGCAACATCTTCCCTGTTGTCAACAATCAGGGAAGGTGGGAATTCTAGTTCATCAACCCCTGAAGGCACCAGGTTTTTCAAAGAACAATGGACGTCAACCTTACCTGGATTGTCCATGGACATGATAACCGTCTCTCCAGTGAAGGGGTAGATTGCCAGGACCTCCTCAGAGACAGTGTTGTGCTTAAAAGTGTTTCCGGAGAAGAAGACAGAGATGATCTCGCTCTGGGCACCCACGTTTAGGACATACCAATAGACCACCTGGTTCTGGCAGAGTTTCATTTGAAGATTATTAAAGACATACCCATTGATACCTGGAAGAAGAGTGAGGGAAAAAATACTAATGATGAAGCCCAAAGAATTTCGATACTCGGTAGCATCCTAAAGCAGGATTTCCAACCCCCAGTCTGTGAACCAGCCCTGGGCCACGGTATGCCAGAAACAGGGCTGTGCAAACAAGCCAAGCTCCATCTGGGGATGCAGGCCGTTGTGGTTCGCCGGCAGCCACTGCAGACGGCAGCGGAATCAGACAGTGGGAGAGAATGGGGACCAGTCTGGGAGTCTGGAGAGGACCCAGATGAGAGTCCCGCTTCCAATGCGGAGATGGGGCCAGGACCATCTTGGAGTGGGGTGCTGACTCCGGTGCCACAGGAGTCTGGCAGCAGCGAGGCCAAGGAACAAGGGGAGCCTGTTCCCAGTGTGCATGTGTGCAGAGCTGCTAGAAGGTGAGAGCAGCTGAAGCAGAAGGGGCGACTCGGGAGTAAGGCTTGGAGGTGATTGCCCCTCCCCTAAGGTATAAAGGAAAGGCAAAGGTAGAGAAACCTTTGCAGGAAGCAAAGTCATTCACTCTATTTGGATTAATCCTTGAAGCTCTATGTGGACTTTGTACTTCAGTTGGTTTTTTACAATTAATTTGGCATTTTAGTTGTTGGCAGCAATTCAAAGGAGATAAAGGTGGGTGCTTATCTCGAGGGACTGTTTGGGACTCATTACGAGCTGGGAATGCAGATAATTCCCAGCCTTGAAATGAAACAAGAGTTTGGACTAAGTGTGTGCTTAATTACGGTCACAGGAAGCCTTGGTCAGAACACAGACAGCATGTGAAACTATGCCCGCTCTGGTCCCTGGAAAAAACTCTCTCCATGGAACCAGTTCCTGGTGCCCAAAAGGTTGGGGCCGCTGCCCTTGGGGAATTGATCCAAGATATGTGGAAAAACCATGTCATCAAAGGCTGGACTACAATCTCATTACATCCATCCAGCACGACCTCTGCGAAGTCCAGATGCATCTAAAGAAGTGGGTCTAGATCCGGGGAAAGCTCATCTGATTATTGATCATGATTATCAGCATAATTACCATGTTATATCTCATCTTTTCCCAATGAAGTTGAGGTGGGTTATACAGAATACATCCAAGAAGCTCCTTCAGAACATGAATAGAATAGAATAGAATAGAATAGAATAGAATAGAATAGAATAGAATAGAATAGAATAGAATAGAACAGAACAGAATAGAATAGAATAGAATAGAATAGAATAGAATAGAATAGAATAGAAATATTTATTGGCCAAGTGTGATTGGACATACAAGGAATTTGTCTTGGTGTAAATACTCTCAGTATACATAAAAAGAAAAGATACATTCATCAAGAGTCAAAAATCATAAAGTATGACACTTAATGATAGTCATAGGGTACAATAAGCAATCAAGTAGCATTATTAGATCTTCCACAACAGCTTCAGCTATGTGTAAGAAAGGCACACGTAACATCTTAACTTCCTTTCACTGTTCTTCATGCCACCTTTTTAAAAAATCTGGAGCTACTCACTGTACATGACGTTGGATGCATAGAATTCAGGGTCTTGAGGCTTAATGTTGGCTGCATCGGAACAATATCGCTTGACATTCTCTGACAAGTACCAGCTCCAATTTTCATTAAAGACAGAAAACAGCACAAATCTCGCTTCATCGGCAATCATCTGAAGGGATGACAAAAGTAGGGGATTAGTGGGTCAGAATTTGGGTGAGGGAACTAGAGATTAAGATACTGGACCAGGAAAGACCAATGATCCAAAAATGTATTTGCTGATCGTAAGATTGCCACTATCTTTCAAAATGATAACAGGGATGTCTCTGCTCTTTGAATAATGCCAGGCTATGGATCAAATGTTTCTAGAGAATTAGTTGCTGGTAAAACTGTATTTTCTTCTCCCCAAAATTGACCTCATTGAAGGACCAATAACCTTGGGAACAATCCTCTTTGCAACCGAAAGAACAGTAGTTCTAAGGGACGTATCTTACTTTACCATTGTTGATAGTCAAGTGGCATCAGGTGATCAAAACATATTGGATGTGGGGCTCACTCTGGAGAGATTGAGAGATTTTAGTAGATGCAAAAGATCACAGCTTTACTGTTGTGAAGCATCACCATGCTGATTATATTTATTCGCTACTCTTATGAAATATTCCCCACCTCATTTCCAGTTCTATTCTAGGTATAGTTTGGAAGTGAAATGGGCCTATTATCCAGTCTGCAAAGCCTGCAGAGGCTTTTTTCAAGCTTCTGGGAGGCTGAAAAAGGCCTCAAACTGGCTGAAAATCAGCTGTGAGGCACAGTGCAGGTAAGGGGGTGGCAGCAGCAGGGGAATTGTGTGTGCATGTGCAGGGGCCATGGAAGAGCATGCACATTTTCTTCTGCTGGCAGGAGCCCAAAATGTTTAGCCACCACTGATCTGATTCAACCCCCAGCTCAAGGAGGAGAGTCTCTTCCAAATATTAGCCTCTACCCAGGATCGAACTCACAGCCTCCTGATTATAAGGTGAGAGCTCCACTTCTAGGCCACCAGAGCTGGGCTCAGGCCACTGGATCATGTGGAATAGGTAGGCTGTCTTTGATAATCATAAAATCACCCGGTGAACCTCCATGACTGAATCCCAATCCAATCCTTTAGCCGTTACACCAACCTTGGAAACCTGGCGAAAATGTAGCACCAGATACCCTGCTTATAAGATGCTTAAACATCTGGAAAAAAAGCTACAACATTTACTTGAAGTAACCCCACGTGGATGGGACCAAGATCTACATCTTAACCCTTGAGGGCTTCCAATTCTCAATTCTCGAGAGAAGCATTATCAAACCTACTACATCCAGTCATAATGTGTGGTGAACACCCCAGTTGTTTCTGTTATCAACAAACCTGATTGCCTCTCAGATCCATGCTTTCTTTGAAACAGATCAGGAGGGGTCCAATAAGCCCAGATGCTAAGTCTTTAGCCGGTTTGATTGAGCTGTAATAGTAGCGAGTCAGGCAACTGGGATCAGATCTGGTCGGCCCATCCTCTGGCATTATCTTCCACCTGTACGTGAACACCTGTTTGGGTCGTATCGGTACCACCTTCATATTCTGATCTAGGAAGAAACAAACCACAGAATCATACGGTTTAATTTCCTACTGGTTTGCTGCAGCTACGTTTGTTGCACAACTAAGGCACGGTGGCCTGGACAAGACACTATGCCAAGGGTCTTCAAACTTGGCAAGTGTAAGACTTGTGGACTTCAACTCCCAGAATTCCTGAGCTAACATGACTGGAGGAGGAATTCTGGGAGTTGAAGTCCACAAGTCTTAAAAGCTGTCAAGTTTGAAGATCCCCTGCACTATGCTAAGCCACAAATTATGGCTTTAGAAAGCCCACTGGAATGTATCATACCAAAATAAAACTTTAAACACTCTCATATTAGGTGATAAGGTATATATGCACATACAGCATCTGAGATAGGCAGCTATAGAAGTTCAACAAATAAATTTGCTCCCATAGCCTTCTACAATTCCACAAGAGGGCAGCAATGGTTTTTAGAAAGCTAGATAGTAATTTTGTTCATAAGCAGACACACAGAGAAAGAAAGAAAGAAAGAAAGAAAGAAAGAAAGAAAGAAAGAAAGAAAGAAAGAAAGAAAGAAAGAAAGAAAGAAAGAAACAAACAAACAGACAGAGAAAACAAAACGTGTGGAAGACAGATTTTATCCCCTTAGGACAGAACAAATGGGGGAAATGGTTTGATTGGAAGAGAGCAGAGCTACTTTCTGCAAAAAACACTCTGGAATGAAGAAAAGGGCAAAAAAAATGAATTTTAATGAAAATCTGTCCTTATTCCAAGAATCATACTATAGGTAGTCCTCGACTTACGACCACAATGGGAGCCAAATATTTCTGTGGTTAAGTGAGACATTTGTTAAGTGAGACCTGCTACATTTAACAACCTTTCTTGGCACAGTTGTTAAATGAACCATTGCAGTTGTTAGGTTAGTCACATGCTTGTTAAGTGCATCTGGCTTCCCCCATCGACTTCGCTTGTCAAAAGGTCGCAGCAGGGGACCCCATGATCCCCAGGGACTCTGCAACCGTCATAAATACGAGCCAATTATCAAGCACCTGAATTTTGGTCGCATTATCATGAGGATGTTGCGAAGGTCATAAGTCACATTTCCCAGTACCGTTGCAACTTTGAACGGTCGCTGAATGTTATAAGTCGAGGACTATCCATAGACTTTAAAACTCATCACAAACTAAATGAGGCTGGTCTAATCTGCAGTTTCAAGCTTGATATTCAAATAAACGCATTCCTAATTTTTGAAAGAAACAAAACTAGTTTGAAAACTGGGGTCAGCTCTGATTGGAAGCAGCAGATACGAACCAGAAGAGGCACTATTCCTGTTTTCTCCTTCTTTTAGCAGACAGAATAGATGATGTAACATTAAGCAAATAATGTTGGCCTCTTAGATTAGCTGCAGATGCTCAATTTATCATCATCATCTTCATTTAATCACCCTATAATCCCTTCTGGGGTGGAGTCTGAGCAACTGAATGGAGCTAGCAGAGTGTTTTACTGGCCGGATGCTCTTCCTGCTGCCAATGCAGAGTTTTGTTCAGCAGATATGTTCTCAGTGTGGCCAGAGAGAGAAATATCTGCCTCTACCTAGGATCAAACTCACAGCCTCCTGAGGCGAGAGCTCCACCTCTAAACCACTGTACCATTCCCTACGCTTCATTTATCATGGTGTTTGATTGAACTCAGAATACAATCTTCAGACCAGCTTTGAAGGCTCAGCCTGATCTGCAAACCAGCTTGGCTTGTTTGACTCCTCCCTCCCTCACCCTACTTTCAGATTACATGTGAATGCAGCACGAGAATCGTCCCCACCGCCCTTCCACAGCCACTTCCCAAGTGATTCCCCCCTTCCAACCGTCTTACGTCGGAGACTTCCGATAGGATGGAATGAAGTGACATTGGTGATTCCGTGAGGATAAATGTTGTATGGCCGGCTGGCCAAATTCTTAAACACAATCTGAAACGAGACAGTTTGATATTCCATTCAGTCTTTGCAGCATTCCAGATGTGGAACAATAAAAGGTAAAGTAAAGGTTCCCCTTGTTCTAGTCATTTCTGGCTCTAGGGGGCGGTGATCATCTCCGTTACAAAGCCAAAGAGCCAGCGCTGTCTGAAGACATCTCCGTGGTCATGTGGCCAGCATGACTAAATGCCGAAGGTGCATAGAATGCTGTCACCTTCCCACCAAAGTGGTCACTATTTTTCTACTTGCATATTTTACCTGCTTTTGAACTGCTAGATAGTGTTCTGACCTACACCCTTTTTCAACAAATCAAACACAATCCAAAGGGAACAGAAACCTTGTAATGCTTCTGCAAAAATAATTAGCTGTGATAAGCACAAGCCTTGCTAAACTGTGCGAGACTTGCCAAAAGATAACAGACAAGAAATAATTTGCAAAATAAGAATCTTCAAATGCAAACTCAGGATACTGGAATGTCCACGAGGCTGGAGTTTCAAAACGTCTTTGCCTTCTGCAAAGTACATTCCTTTCACAGCTGGCTTTTATCTTCTTGAAGAAGGGGCTCCCGAATCATCTAACAAAGGTGCTGAACTTTCTGTTTTTTCTTTGAAGACATTTTGCTTCTTATCCAAGAAGCTTCTTCAGTTCTGACTGGATAGCGGGGAATTTGAGGATTTATACTCCTTGCAGACAGCTGGTCATTTGCATTCTTCTGCATCTCAAACTGAAGTGCAAATGGTTCCTGTAGTCTGCAATTTTTTCTGTGGTCTGCAATTTTCCACTCCCCAACCAGCCAGTCAGAGCTGAAGAAGCTTCTTGGATGAGAAGCAAAACGTCTTCAAAGAAAAAAACAGAAAGTTCAATGACCTGGATGACTTTGGGACAACGAATGACCTGGATGACTGAAAATCTCCATAGATTTCTTTGCATTTGTAAGCAGACATGGGCCTACAATGTGCATATATGAATGCTTGTTGGAAAGAAAGAGAAAGAGATCATGGTTGAACCTAGTCAACTGGTCGACTGAGAATCTCCATAGATAGTTACATTTTTAACAAATGAATGTGAACACACCACCTTTCATTAAAAATTTTTTCTCAGACTTCAGAATCATCTTCATTACCAGAGTTTCCCCCAAAATAAGACCCTGTCTTATATATTTTTTGCTACCAAAAAAGGCACCAGGTCTTATTTTGGGGGGATATCACCCACTGACTAACCTCACTTGCGTGCGTCACCCCTGGACTCCTTTTCGCTGTCAGGGGCCTTCAGGATCTTCTTCTTCTGCAGCCTTCTTTCCTGAAGGCCTCTGGAGCTGAGAACACAGCGCTGGATCAATCCAGAGCTTTGTTCTCGGCTCCAGAGGCCTTCAGGAAAGCCTTGCCAGCCTTGCTGGCTGCAGATCAAATGGGCCGGCAAGGCAGTTGTCGGGGTGTGTGAGGCCTGGCTACAACTGTCCAAAGGTAAATAGTAGGGCAGGTCCACCACCTCTCCATCCTCACTCTAGCTTAATTTGTACCCGTGCACTCTGGAGTGGGCAGGATCTTAATTAGGGCTTATTTTGGAGGGGGTAGGGCTTATATTAGGTGCACGTGTAAAAATCAAGCTAGGACTTACTTTCAGGGTAGGTCATATTTTGGGGGAAACAGGGTAAATTGAGTGAATTTCTTAAGGAGCTGACCTCCTTCTATTCAAACTTTCATGGATTCTTGAAAACAGCTTGCTCGGTTGGTTTGCTTGTTTATTTATGCAATGCAATTATTGATCAATTACTCATTTCCTTCAAACTTGATAGAGTTTACAGTCAATGAAACCAATCAATTTACTGCTAATTAACTCAGGCAGACCTGGTGCGGTCAATATCAAGATTGATATGCTCTATTGGGTGGGGAAATGAGATGCTTTAATGAATTGGTGGGAAAAAGCAGAACATTGGTGTAAAAAGTCTTTGATCCAACTGACTAAAAAAATGTGGGTAGATCAAACCTTTGGTGAACACATTTTTTATTGATTCAGATTACTGAATGGGCATTGTTCCAGCATCCTATTCACTCTTATAATGTTTAGTATCCTGTGCTATTTTAATGTTTTAGCCTCTTAATGAAGAGGTATTGCTTTGAAATGCGTAGGAACTTAGTCATAGCAAAGTCTTTGTGGTGTCAATTTGCCTCCTTTTTCATCTGTTTAATAGGATATACAAGTAGTCCTCAGGACTACAACTGAACCCAAAATTGATGTTGTTAAGTGAGTTCTGCCCCATTTTACGACTTTTCTTGCCATTTTTGTTAAGCGGATCATTGAGGTTCTTAAATTAGTAACACAGTCATTAAGTGAATCTGGTTTCCACATTGACTTTGCTTGTCAGAAGGTTGCAAACGGGGCCCCAGGATACTCCAACCATCATAAATGTCAATCCCTTGTCAAGCATTTGTAAATCACGTGATCATGGCGATGTTGCAATGGTCATAAATAGCTTTTTTCAGTGCCATTGTAACTTTGAAGGGTCACTAAATGAACTCTTGTAAGTCAAAGACTACCTGTGTTTCTACTCTTGGCTCTCAACTTTCATGAATATCCCTGTGAGGTTGTATGCACGAGAGGTCCAAAATGATTCTTTGGAATCAATTTCAAAGGATGCCCAAGTCAACTTAATGGTTAAAGACCACTGATAATCCTCAAATGTTTTCCACCCCAAAGATAATTATTCATTAATTTTATTTATTAGCCCTAGGGCCATATCAAAGTCCCAGAAACAAATTATTTCTCAAATTTGATAAAAGCCATTTAAAATGGAATTGGATAAAATACAATTTAAAATGAAATTGGAATAAACTACAGTCTAAAAGGAAATTGGAATAAAATGCAATAGTTTAAGATTTAGATAAAATATGATGAAATTAGATTTTGGTGTCATCCCTACAATCTACCCCAATCAGTCCCACATATGCAGATCAAAGAATAACTAAATGAACTGAACATTTCTGATAGAATTCATTAAATTTTTTAACAGATAACAGATAATCAGAGTTGGAAGGGACCTTGTAGGTCATCTAGTCCAAACCCTTGCCCAAGCAGGAGACCCTACACCATTTGTGACTGATGGGAGTCCAATCTTTTCTTGAAAGTCTCAAGTGATAGCGCTCCCATAATTCCCAAAGACAACTTCTGTTCCATGGGTTGATTGTTTTCACTATCAGAAAATTCCTCCTTATTTCCAGGTTGAATGTCTCCTGGTTCAGTTTCCATCCATTATTCCTTGTCTGGCCTTTGGGTGCTTTAGAAAATAGCTTGACCCCTTCCTCCTCTCTGTGGCAGCCCCTCCAATATTGGAGCCCTGCTATCCTGTCTCCCCTGGTCCTTCTCTTTGCTAGACTAGCCATGCCCAGTTCCTGCAGCTGTTCTTCATATGTTTTAGTCTCCAGTCCCCTAATCATCCTGGTTGATAAGGAAACTACACAAGGATCCTTCTGTAGTTTTGATCGTGGAGCCTTGGCTGCTCACCAAAGACTGTCTACTAGACAATGGAAGAGCCCAACCTTCTGAAGTCATGGATATTCCATCAACTGGAGGCTTCCAAGAAAAGATTGGACAGTCCTTGATCTGGAATGATCTGAGGGTTCCTTTCAAGATCCCATCCATTCCAAGCCCAGGGTTCCATGGTCATTCAAGAGCCAAAGGATTCCCAGACTGAGCCAAGAGGACATGTCTACATGGCACCAATATTTCTCTATTGCGCATCTAATCAACTTACAACAAACTCGTCACCAACTTCTCCTTGCAGGACTGGTCCCAGGAGGCCCAAATGATCTGCTTTGGGTGCCTTTCGCTTGTTGAAAGCCCCATCCTCGTATTCCACAAACATTGCTTTCTTGTACTTGGACCCGATCCTCTGGGGGCCACTTTCCAGAGATTTGCTATAAGTGCTGCGGAGGAGAAGAGAACACCAGGGGTAGAACGCAAGAGAATGTTAGGTCGGTAATGGTTTCACAATTCCCTAATTAATCAAATGCCTATTTATCGATTATTTATAGCATCGTTGAAATGCTAAGGTGTTTAAATGAAATGTTTCGTATATTGCTTGCGTTGCTCCCAGACCATAATTTTCCAATTTGGTGTTTTCCATCCTGCTGTAACCTGATCCCTCCTCCTAAAGTCATCGTGTTAGATTAAAGAATTAGCACTTCCTTTTCCACTTCTTTTCACAGAAGCAGCAAAGTCTCTCATGCAGGGGTGTCAAACTCAATTTAATTGAGGGACGCATTAGAGTTGTGTTTGATCCAGTGGTGGGATTCAAAATTGTTTACTACAGATTCTGTGGGCGTGGCTTAGTGGGCATGGCAGGAGAAGGATACTGAAAAATCTCCATTTCCACCCCACTCCAGGGGAAGGATATTGTAAAATCCCCATTCCATCCCACTCTTGGGGGAAGGTTACCGCCGGTTCTCCGAACTATTCAAAGTTTCTGGTACTGGTTCTCCAGAACTGGTGAGAACCTGCTAAACACCACCTCTTACTGTCCATTTACCATCCACCTGTGGCTTTACTCCCAAACCGACCCTTGTTCCTTAACTCTTCCCTTCTTCTGGCAGCTCTGTGCATGCACTCACTGGGAACAGGCTCCAGCTGTTTTCTGCCCCACTGATCTCCAACTCCAAAGGGAGCGGATAACTGTCGGACGGCCCTGGCCCCCTCTCTGCCTCCGATGCAGACCCTCATCAGAGTCTTCCCCAAACTCCAGGACTGGCTCATGTTCTTCCCCAACCGCCTTATTGTCCAAATCTGCTGCCAGCTCTGCCGGCTGCTGGCGGGCAACAACAAGACTTTCCTTATGAATTAAAGGAATTTCTAGCAGATCCTATAACTATCAGGAAGGAAACGGGACTCTTGCAAAAGTTAACCCAAGAAAGATAGAAGTCTGACAAAGATTTATTCCATCTTAGTTATGCTAGGTATAAGTTGAGTTGCAGAATTACAATAGTTCTTTAAAGAGTATACTTTACTATTGATAAAAAGTCTTCCTTGTTTCTGAGTTTGCCCTTCACAAAAGGCTTGATAGAAACATCATAACTGCTTGAGGTGATTTACCTGTCCAGGTGAGTGGGCTTCACTGGGGCGTAGTCCCAATCACCTTCCTCCGCAGCAATATAATGCGTCCAAATCTGAGGTAGTCTTTTGGCCCGAGAACGCCCAACAATCCTTGGTGAAAATTCATCCAAGTCTATCACTGTGCTTTCCATATCCTCTTCCTCATATTCATCATAATAGTCCTCACTTGATGACGGCTCTGCTTGCCTCAGCTTCTTCTCAATAAGTTCTGGACAAACTTCCACTTGGATTAAGGCTTCCATGCCAGCTGAAAGTCAACAATAAACCAGATGTTAGCCAAGTTTCACTTTCTTTTTGTTGGAAGCAAGGTTTAGTGCAGTGATGGCACACCTATGTTTATGTTAAATGGAAAATGATAGAGTCTCGTTCTGTATCTTTGACACCATCTATCATCATCTTCTTTTAAAGACCCCATAATCCCTTGTGGAGTAGAGTCTGGTTAACTGAATGGGGCTGAGTGTTTACTGACCGGATGCCCTTCCTGTTGCTAATGTAGAGGTTTTTTCCCCCAGCAGATATATTCTCATTGTGCCCAGAGAGAGAAATATCTGCCTCTACCTAGGATCAAACTCACTGTTGTGGTTTGCCGGTAGCCAGTGAGGTCGGCAGAGGTATCGGACAGTGAGGACAAAAAGGGACCAGTCAGGAAGTCTGGAGAGGATTCAGACAAGGGTCCTGCGTCCGATGCAGAGATGCGGCCAGGACCATCTAGGAGTGGGGTGCTGCCTTCAGAGCCTTAGGAAACTGGCAACAGTGAAGCAGAGGACCCCGGGGAGCCTGTTCCCAGTGTGCATGTGCACAGGGCTGCTAGAAGGTGAGAGTAGCTGAAGCAGGAGTGACTCAGGAGTAAGGCTGGGAGGTGATTGCCCCTCCCCTAAGGGATAAAAGTCAGACCTCAATGACGAAGAGCTTTGCAGGAAGCAAAGCAGTTCAGTAATCTCCAAGTCCATCTTGAAGCTCTGTACTCTGGTCGTTTTTTTCCGAGTTTTTGGGTTGGTTTATGTTAAGCCTTAATTGGAAATCTGTTTGTTGGCAAGTATTCTACAGCAGGGGTTGCCAACCACCAGGGACCACCAAGCTCATCATTTTAAATCCCATGGACCAGAGACCCTGGGAAAATCCCCCAAAAAGTCTGCAGGAAAATTCCCCATCTGGTTTTCCTACCAATTGATCATTCATTATTTGGGATTGCACTGTTTCCAGCTCTGTTCTCGGGAGAGAGAGAGAGAGAGAGAGAAAGAGAGAGAGAGAAAGAGAGAGAGACTTTTGGCTTCATGCAAGGAAAGCAGTAGAAGCAGCAGTTTTCTTTCTCTCCCCCCAGATCTGCCAGAAATGAGTCTTTGTGAGACTTGTTGCACTGGCACAGCCTCTTGGGGTAGGATGCCTTGCAGGGTCCCAAAGACTGTGCGTGTCGCATTAAAATAGGTTTTGATTTAAATTCAATTTGTGTTTTGTTAAGTTTGACGAAGCCTGGGTCAGAACACTCACAACCTCCTGATTGTGAGGTGAGAGCTCCACCCCTAGGCCACTGTGCCGCTCTGATGCCATCAATCATGTTGTTTAATTTCTTAAAACAGGTACCTCGCTGATGTGATGGAATCTGGCAGAACATCCGAAATGTGCCGTTGGTTCTGGGTGTTGTCTCAGCTGTGAGGAAAATGGCGGGGGAGATATCCAGAGTGGCAAGGCGATGTTCTCTCACCAGAAAACTGTGACCCTCAAAAAGTATGGAGTGAACTTCAGGCTGGCTGCCCAGGCTAATGACATACCAATAGACAGGCCTCTTCTCACACAGCCTGAGATCTGCAGGTAAAGAAAAGAACAACGTTTTGGGTGAGATGCTTAGTAATACTCAAGGCAACGTGCAGGAGTGCAAGCTTCCAACTTCGTATTTTCAAACCAAGCAAGGAATCCAAATTCAAATTAGCACTCAAAACTTGCCCTTCACAGTATTATGCCCTGCAATTTGCTAATAATAAGGATGATTAATGGTGATATAAATATATTGGGAATCAATGCATTTGCTCCTAGAAATAGTGTGACAAAATGCATTATATTAGGGCAAATGGAAAATGCATGCGTTGGTAGAAATGTAAACGAATGTGAATACTTAGAGCAAAACTTGCAAAATAAATGTTCAAGAGTGATAAACGAAGACGGACAGTCACAAAAAATGAAGAACGGAAAGCATCTTTGGAAGAGTTGTGTTTTCTTATTATTTTATTCATTCATTTTATTTCTAGTTCATTCAGTTGATTGTTATTAAGTGACATGATCCGAATGGTTCTTTGAGCAATCCCAGAGATGACTTCCAGTTATATCAGACAGACAAAGACCAAAAAATTCTTCAAGTTGTGAGAAATAGAAATATTCCATGTTTGATCAATCTACTCTATCTATCTATATCTACCTACCTACCTACCTACCTACCTACCTTATCTATCTATCTATCTATCTATCTATCTATCTATCTATCTATCTATCTATCTATCTATCATCCATCACATATATATGGCCTATCTCCAATGTCATGTATTGGCTAACATGGTTTATCAAATGTTCTGTCCTTTTTGCCAGACTCTTACCAGGCAGAGAAGAATGACTGAACCCATTGATGGTATGAAACTGATGTTGAGTCAGCGGAGACTGTGAGTTTCCTCTGATGTGAGAAGGAGAATACCAGCTCTTGTCTGATGGAGGCATTGAAGAGGGAGAGAGAAGGATGCAAGTTATTGAGTTTAATTCAAGGAACTCCAAATTGTCAAGAAAAGAGCCCACCATTATCCACTGTTTCTGCCCTACAGGCCCATTTTAGGAAAATCAGAATTAGACCCCACGTTAAACCTTTTCAGGTAGAACTTATCACCAGTTTCCTACAGGGCAGGAGGAATTAGTTTTGGAAGACAAACAGACCTTGGCCATAAACCATGTAATTGGTATCCTGTTTTTCTGTCCAGTTCTGCACCCTTATATAGTGTAGAAGCCAGTCCTAAACTAAAATAAAAATGAAATAAGAATCCCCTTGGAATCTGCTAAATTAGATAGCACAGTATGCAAATAACCAAGAGATGCTATCTAGAACAGGGGTCTCAACCTTGACAACTTTAAGACTTGTGGACTTCAACTCCCACTTAATTCTGGGAGTTGAAGTCCACAAGTTTTAAAGTTGCCAAGGCTGGAGACTCCAATCTAGAATATTGGTTGGACATGAAGAATCGGGAACAAGCGAAGCCTAAATCCTACAGAAAGGTGTATTAACCGCTGATGACTTTATTCAATAGAATAAAAACACAAATACAGGGTGAGCATAAGCATATTCTTTTCTCTCCTTCCCCCTCATTCTTCTCTTACCTTCATCAAATACAGAAAACAGCAGCACAAATTCTTGTATTTTTCCCCTGGATTTCATACTCATCAAAGCTCCTGCAAAGGAGAAACGCTGTAGAACCATCAAAACAAAATGACACAAAGACTTTCCACAGATTTTTTTAAACCAAATGGCAATTTTCTAAACTGGGGCAAAACAGGAATCCTAAAAGATCTTAACTGTCTTCTACTACATCACCTAAAGGCTCATCCATGTTATACTCAGGTAGCTGGACTTTGGAAGGACTTACAAGTTCATGGAGTAGTTTTATTTCTCAGTCCTTACACACTCTATATTATGCTCTGTGCAATAATGATGTTTTCCCCTAATTTCACAGTGCTATCATAACTAAAATCATGCATGAGGTAATACATGGGATTAAACTGGAATGTTTCAGGAAAAAATGCTGTCTAAATGCCAGGTGTTATGGTAGGAGGATATTTGGAATGTCATACAAAGGATTATCTTGCTTTTCCAGAAAGAAAACAAGATTTTTGAAGTGCCCACATTGGGTTTGCAAGTGAATCTGGTATGAATATAGGGACTAAAAATGACTTGATGAATGCTAGCAGGTCCATGTGAATCTGAAGAAAGTCCGGAATATGGATAAGTAGTTCTCAAGATGTCCCAAAGGTGCTTTTTTAACCGTGACCTGGATGATTGAAAATCTTCAATAGACTCTCAAGAAGATGGTTTACTTCTAGAACCTGATCTCACCTGGCTTACAGACCAACAGTGGTCCAATCAATCCAGAATTAATATCCTTGACACTGTCCACGTGAGAGGAGTAGGCATAAGTTAAACAGTGTGTGTCCGATCCGGTTGGCCCTTGATCTTCTAAGATCTCCCACACATAGACATGGGTGTGACCAGGTTCCACAGCATCGTCTTCTTTCTCTAGCTGGCTGGTCAGATCTTCATAGCCTGCTCCTGAAAGCATATAAGAATAGAATTCTCTATTGGCTGAGGGTGATTGGACACACAAGGAATATGCCTTGGTGCAAATGCTCTCAGTGTACATAAAAGAAAAGATACATTCGTCAAGAGTCAAGAATCAGAAGGTACAGCACTTAATGGTAGTCATAAGGTACAATAAGCAATCCAATCATACTAGGAAACAGTCAATATAAATCATAAGGATACGAGCAGGGGTGGGATTCTACCAGTTCACACCTATTTGCTAGAACTGGTTGTTAACATTCTAAGCAGTTTGGAGAACCGGTTGTTAGAAGAAATTACTGGCCTAATCCTGTAAGGAAGGCAGGAAGGAAACATTCTGGTGTTGCTTACAGAAACTGCCTCTCCGTTAACCCTTATTCCATTCTTGGCAGGACTAGACTTCCTGTCTCAGGAATTTCTCTGGAGTTATTTTTCCCTCCTTTGCTGGTACTTTGTTTGTGTGGAGTGACCATTCAAAGTTACAATGGCACTGAAAAAAGTGACTTATGACCTTTTTTCACACTTACAACTGTTGCAGCATCCCCACAGTCACGAGAGGCCAGGCGAGGACATGCATGCCTCGATGTGAATGACATTGAGTTGGTCACACCCAGCCAATAACATGACCACCAAGCTACGCCCACCAAGCCACACCCACAGAACTGGTTGTTAAAAAATTTGAATCCCACCCCTGGATACAAGCAACAAAGTTACAGTCATACAGTTACAAGTGGGAGTGGATGGGTGATAAGGCGTGATGAGAAGATTAATAGTAGTAATAGTGCAGACTTTGTAAATAGTTGGACAGTGTTGAGGGAATTATTTGTTTAGCAGAGTGATGGCATCCGGGAACAAACTGTCTTTGTGTCTAGTTGTTCTGGTGTGCAGGGCTCTATAGCGTCATTTTGAAGGTAGGAGATGGAACAGTTTACGTCCAGGATGTGTGGGGTCTGTAGATATTTTCACAGCCCTCTTTTTGACTTGTGCAGTATACAGGTGCTCAATGGAAGGCAGGTTGGTAGCAATTGTTTTTTTCTGCAGTCCTAATTATTTGTTGGAGTCTGTGTCTGTCTTGTTGGGTTGCAGAACCAAACCAGACAGTTATAGAGGTGCAGATGACAGACGCAATAATTTCTCTGTAGAAGCACTGTCATCCATGCTTTACAGTCCTCTTTAAGTGGTTTATAGAATCAGCCTCTTGTCTCCAAACAAGCTGGGTCCTTATTTTACTGACCTTGGAAGGATGGAAGGTTGAGTCAACCTTGAGCCTGGTGGGATTCGAACTGCCAAACTGTTGGCAGCCGGCAGTCAGCAGAATTAGCCTGCAGTACTGCATTCTAACCCTTGCACCACCACGCCTCTAGCCAACAGTGGAAAGAATTTGAAGAGCATGCAGGAGGGACAATTGGGGTGTTGCTCTCACCTTCAGAAGCTTTCCAGTAAGATACACCTTTGGCATGGATATTGAAGGGACGGGAAGCCATATTCTTAAAGGTCACGATCACCTTGTCATAGATTTCGGCTTGGACGATGGGCCCCAAAAGACCTGATGAAAAGAAGAAAAATTGGTACAGGCTGAACTTCTGCTGATTGCAAAGGAAAGATGCAGAGCTGGAATTCAGCCAGTTCTGACCAGTTCTGGAGAACTGGTAGCAGACATTTTGAGTAGTTCGGAGAACCGGCAAACGCCACCTCTGACTGGCCCCCGCCAACCCCATCTATTCTCTGCCTCCCGAGTCCCAGCTGATTGGCTGGGTCTTCTTTAGTTGCCCTGCACAGGAGAACGGAGCTGGAAAGCAAGTAAGTGGGATGGAGAGGGAATGGAGATTTTACAGTATCCTTCCCTTGCCATGCCCACCAAGCTATGCCTACCAAGCCATGCCCACAGAAATAGTAGTAAAAAATTTTGAATGCCACCACTGGAAAGATGAGATGGGAATTGGGATCTAGATCTCTCCTCCATCCCCTCTGACACTGAGCAGGGAGAAATTCCAAGGATGGGTTTGGATTTCTTTGGGTGAAAGTGACCTGCTCTTTCATTATTTACAAATACTTGAAAACCTTTGATTCACACACCACTATTATAGGTTCACAGCTACTATTACATCATCATCTGCTGATTGAATTTCTTTTCCTGTGATAAATCTTCCTCAAGTACATATGTAGCTTGTTCTCATTTACAAACCTAGGTAAACAAGGCATACATGATTTTCCAGGCTTCTCTTGCTCTTTTAATTTCCTTATATTGGTAAGCAAATACGCATTATTAATGTAGAGGATTTGTTGTTTGTTATTTCATTGCTTTTAACGTGTGGCAACACATCGGTAAATACACCTGAAGCTAATGTAGCTGTTTCACTAACAATTATCAAGATGTTCGCCCCACCTCTTCCCAGTTAGTAAATAAAATAATGTATTTTGCACATGCAATTCTGCTTCCTGAATAGTCTTCTAAAAAGTTGCATGGACTCTGCATTATAGCAATCAAACAACTTAAGACATTTTTAAGTGCAGGAATAACTCCAGTAAGATTCCCCAATTGAGCTGAGAATCTTGTAAGCAAAAAAAAAAAAAAAAAACAGACTCCCTAGCTTACCCATCCAAGCAGGTTTGGGTTTTACTTCTCTGAACGTAGAATCTGTATATTCCAAATAAATCGCCTTCTTATATGGAGGGCCTGGGGTGGAGGAAGACAATCTGAGAAATTAAAAAAGAGTTAGTCAAAGAAGAAAATTGAGACTAGGGTCTGCATTTCAAATCCTACATGGTTATGAGGAACAGATTAACAGTCACAGTGGAACGCCCCAAGTTTATTAATTTACAGATTAACAGAGTTGGAAGGGACCTTTTAGGTCATCTAGTCCAACCCAAGCAGGAGACCCTACACCATTTCTGACAAATGGCAGTCCAGTCTTTGCTTGAAGGCCTCCAGTGATGAAGCTCCCACAACTTCTGAAGGCAACTTCTGTTCCATTGCTTGATTGTTCTCACTGTCAGAAAATTTCTAGGTTGAATCTCTCCTTGATCAAGTTCCATCCATTATTCCTTGTCTGGCCTTTGGGTGCCTTGTTGTGTTCTTGCTTTGCTGAGAGTTAGCTTAAACTAAAACCAAATGCCCCCATCTCTGTGTGCAGCTGTTCCTATGTGATGAGGACCCACCAGAGTTGTGGCTTGGAGCATCTTCCACAATAGTATTCTCAAGATATCCAGGACAGGTCCCAAGTATCCGAGATTGGCGTTGATCACAATGGATTCAAATCACTGCTCATTTCAGCTTCCTAGTATCCTGAGATTAATCCCTAACTCATCTTACAAAGCCATTTAAACCATCCTAATTCTGTCAAACCCAAGAATGATATAGAACAATCTAGCCAAAGATCAGTTATTTAAAGGCTCGCACCAATAGACAGAATCTTGCCAGACTAAACTTATACTAAAAGTAAACATTTCCTTGTCCAGTCATGTCTGACACTAGGGACTTCAACTCAATCCTCACCCATCATTACCCAACAGTCCCAGGTTTGCAGTGTGGGGTATAACACCCAGTTTGGGAAGGTTGAAAAAGCTGGGAAGAGAAAAAGGAGAAAGTTGATGTATAGCACAAAGACATATCAAAGCAATGTCTCTTTCATGTTGCTTTGTCTGGTTTCTGCTCCATAGTCACAATCCTGGAGTTTTTTCTGGCAATAGTAGGAAAGTATTGCTTTCTTTTGGAATGCTTCCTTGCCTCCACTTAATCCAGATTCATGGGTGTTGATTCAATACCTAGCAAGACTAATTCCAGTTTCATTTTTTCCCCAAAACTAGCCCAGGTCAACTAGGTGCCGCTACCTACAGTGACGTAAAGTTATAGGACAGTGATGACTAACCTTTTTGGCACTGAGTGCCCAAAGCACATGCGCACCCCCGAAATGCAATATACGCACATTCCTAACCCTACCCTCATGCATACATGTGCATACCCTGTGCAATTGTGCCACCTCCCACGCATGCACAGCAGAGACCTGAAAATCAACTGGCCAGCAGAAGGCACGCACATGCATGCATGGCAAGGCTTAGCTGGAGTGATGGCTCGCATGCCCACAGAGAGGGCTCTGTGTGCCACCTATGGCATGTATGTGCCAAAAGTGGCACACATACATACCATAGGTCTGCCATCATGGTTATAGGACATCTCAAATTTAGGATTTGCAAATAGGCTTTGCAACCACACCCTGGTAGCATTATTGGGGCATTTAGGGAAATGGTCCAGGTTTGAGGGCTCTCCTTTTACCTCTCCTGTAATCTCCAGCCCATTGGAAATTACACTACCTCAAGAAACTCAACTGTTTCAGGTGCATTGTTTGGAGCGTACCATGCCAAGGGTAGATGGCCAGGTGAAACACTTCACCCGAATACTGTTTTTTGTTAATGAGGGGTCCTTGGTGGTTTTCTTGAAGGCGTTTCATGACCCAACTAGATAACCACTACCCTCCTCCCGTTGCTCCTCCATCATTCCACAAACCACACTCTCTTTTAGCACTGATGGTGTTACTTAGATGCAGAGGTGGCATTCAGCAGGTTCTGACCAGTTCTGGAGAACTGGTAGTGGAAATTTTGAATCATTCAGAGAACCGGCAAATACCACCTCTGACTGGCCCCGCCAACCCCATCTATTCTCTGCAGTGGTGGGATTCAAATATTTTTACTACCGGTTCTTTGGCCGTGGCTTGGTGGGCATGGCAGGGGAAGGATACTGTAAAATCTCCAGTCAGAGGTGGTATTTGCTGGTTCTCCAAACTACTCAAAATTTCTGCTACCGGTTCTCCAGGACAGGTCAGAACCTGCTGAACACCACCTCTGATACTCTGCCTCCCATTGAGTTCCAGCTGATCGGCTGGGTCTTCTTTGGTTGCCCTGCACAGGAGAACTGAGCTGGAAAGCAGGTTAGCGGCATGGGGAGGGAATGGGGATTTTACAATATCCTTCCCCTGCCACCCCCACCAAGCCACAGCCACCAAGCCATGCCAAACCCACAGACCTGGTAGTAAAAAAAATTGAATCCCACCACTGCTTAGATGGGTTATGAAACATCTTCAAGAAAACAACCGAAGTTCAGGGAGCATCAAAGACCTCTCATTTCATCCCTCAGCTACAAATCTTCTCTTTTATAGATACTTTTAAAAACATGCTTTCTAACATTTCTCCATAGTTGACGTAGGATTTTGTCATGCTCTGCTTTCCAACATTTATTGTACCCGGGAGGGCATGTAGGAAGGAAGCAGATAACAGACCCCAGCATGTCTACCTTGTTACTGGTAGTATTAGAAACACTGGAGGGCCGGTAGCTATCAGAGGTCAGGCAAGTTTCCAAGAGTTTCTCTCTAGGATGACTCAGATCAGCCAAGGAAATCCGGGCAGTTAGGAGCAACGGCAAAACAAATAAAGGGGAGCTGCAGTTTTTGAGTTTCATATCAGGACTTTTAAATCAGCACAGGGAGAACCAGGTTGATGTCGTGGTTAACACCAAGTTAGAAGCCAAGAGACTTTGAGTTCTAGTTCTGTCTTAGGCACAAAGCCAGGTGGGTGTCTTTGGGCCAGTCACTTTCCCTGGGCCCTAGAAAGCCGGAGGCAAAGGCCAAGCATGTCCGGAAAGCTTTGCCAAGAAAACTGCAGGGATTTTTTGATTTTTCCAGGTAGTCTCCGAGAATTCGAGACAATTGAACTGGGGGATTGGGGGGAATCAGGCCAGGTAATCTTATAGAAGTACCTCCTTCCCCACCCCCAAAAACGTAGTTTTGCTTGAAACAAAAGGATTTCCTTCTTTTAGAATTTAGAAACAGACCAGATTTTAATTTAAGCAGCACCACAAAAGCACAACTAAAAGAGCCCAGAGTCCAGAGTACAAGGGGAATATACGGAAGGGCAGATTCCAAAGCTCCAGTTAAGACTTTCCAAAGTCAAAATAGTAATCATTTCCGAAAAAGCCAACCTGCAAAAAAAGAGAGGACGTTTTGAGTGATTGGAGCATTTGGCAGGATTTGTTGTGGTCGGTCTGCAAAATTCCGTATCGAGGCCAGAAATAACACTACATGCCATTGTGTACAAGTTCCCGATCACAATTTGGTCTTTTCTGGCTAGGAAACAGAATGGTGACCTTTGGGGAGAAGAATGGGTGATCCCTGTAGAAGGAAGTCCTTGGCAATTTGGGTACAATCGGGTGAAGAACAGTTGCATAATGTGTTTTTTTTTTTTGGAGGGGGGGGGAAGAGAGAGCATCGATTGTAGTGATACCATAAAATTACTTCTATTCTTAAATAATAGTTTCTGTTTTTCTGAAACCATGTCATACTATCTCTTTTCTACCATGCTGCAAAATGTTTGGTTGTTGTTGTAATTCAACATAATACAAAAAACCCTCTTCAAGGTTTTGGTACTATTTCACTTGGTCCAAAAGTATTATCCCTTTTGTAGGTTGATTTCTCACCCCTCCTCTGGATGAGCTGTTATCCCTTAATTCTGGACTTGGCTTTGTTTAATCTCTTCACTTTTCCAGATACCTTCTTTGCATTTTGTCCCAAATCTCTGAGAGCAGAAGACATTTCTGAGAGAAGCTGAAGAAGCTTCTTGGATGAGAAGCGAAATGTCTTCAAAGAAAAATGAGAAAGTACAGTTGCCTCTTGAAAAAAAAGCAACTCTGGGACAACCAGGGCCTGGATGACTAAGAATCTCCGTAGAAGAAGAAAAAAGGGGGTGGTGGTGATATATATCAGAGAAATGATAGAAGCAAAGCAAATTTATGCAGACATTAAGGGTAGAATATTAATACAAGAGATAAAAATAGGACAAAGACAGATGCTACTAGTAAATATATATGCACCTAACAAAAACCAAAAAGAATTCTACAAAAAACTTCATGAAAGAATTGTTGAGACAGGTCAGAAAGATATATGCATAGTCGGAGACTATAATGGAATAGCAGAGACTATAAAAGACTATGTCTGTGATAATTAAAAAAATGACAAAAAGGAATATACTGCCACAAACATTTTTTGATAAGATGGAGGAATTGCACCAAATAGATTATGCAGAACATTAAACCCCATGGAACAAAAATTTACATACTTACTCAAATCCACATACATCTTATTCAAGATTTGATATGGTATGGACAAATATTGACTTAGGTAAAGAAATATTCAAAAATTGAAATTTTCCCAAACACCTGGGCTGACCATGACCCCATTAAAGTAAGTTGGAGAGGCCAGAAATAGAAAAGAAAAAGATGGACATTGAACAGATATTACTAGAAGAATTTATTTTAAAAAATTCAAATGAATTGACAATATTTTTTGATATAAATAAAAAACAACAAACATATTTGCAAATCCTATGGGACATGATGAAAGCATATACCAGAGGGGTAACAATATCTTACATTGCAAAAAGAAACAAGGAGAAACGGGAGCAGCAAAATACATTACAATTAGAGATTGGAGATTTAGAAAAATTAATGCAAAAAAACAAAAACAAAAACAGGGAGTAATCAAATTAAGGAACAAATGAATTTGGCCAAGCACAAATTAAACCTATTGATATTGTTAGGGATTTTAAATTTATGAAACAAAATTATTTTGAAAATGCAAATAAGCCGGGGAAATGGCTGGCCTATAAATTGAAAAATAATAATAATAATAATACAGCAGCTTCATGATGAATTAGGAATACTACAAAATAATAAAGAAGAGAAAAAAAAGATTGCCCTAAAATATTTTGAAGATCTCTATAGACAAGAGAATCTCCATAGACTTCTTTGCACGGGTGGGATTCTACCAGTTCGGTAGAATGAATTGGTAGTTCTGAAGATCAGCTGTGAACAAACCAGTTTGCTCTGACAATCAGCTGTTGGGCCTACCCACCTGCCCTGGCTCTAGTCTGTGCTTATTTCTGGGTTTTCCAGCTCAGCTGCTTTGCGTAGTACAGCAGATTGCAGTGTGTAAGCTGTTTTACACACAGGGCTTGCAGCAGTAGATGAGTTGTAAATGCTGCGTGTGCGCAAAAGGTGCGCACGCTCACCGAACTGGTTGTTACACTGGTTGAATCCCCACCCCTGCTTCTTCGCATTTGCAAGCAGACATAGCCCTGTGGTGTGCAAGGATTCATATATCACCCTGTGGTGATATATGAACCCTTGTTGGAAAGGAATGGAATGGAATGGAATGGAATGGAATAGAATAGAATAGAATAGAATAGAATAGAATAGAATAGAATAGAATAGAATAGTTGGAAGGGACCTTGTAGGTCATCTAGTTCAACCCCACTGCCCAAGCAAGAGGCTCCACATCATTTCTGACAGACAGCAGCCCAGTCTCTTCTTGAAAGCTTCTAGTGACTGTATAGAATAGAATAGAACAACCGAGTTGGAGGTTATTTCTTTATAGATATTTGGAACCTGTAAACCCAGCAGCAACATATTCTGTCATGGTCCCTTAAACAACATCCTGGATTAAGTGTAGTCACATCTGCATTCCATCTTTCTGGACTCTTTTTGACTGAACGTAAAGTTTTCCGTCTGACAAATTACAAAACCTAATTTATTTGTACGATCATGTGGTCTACTTCAGAAAAATCTTACAGAAGGGGTCCCCAAGCCTTGGGCCACAGCCCACGACCAGGCTGTAGCCTATTCAGAACAGGTCTGTGTGAACATCAGTGCAGAGTGTGCGCACACACATATAGCTCAACTTGCCAGCTTGGTTCCCCTCTCCATTTGCACCCCCCCCCGCCACCAGCCGGGTCACCAAGTGGGGATCGCAATACAGGATAACAGGAACCTTAAAGTCATTAGAATTAGAATTAGAATTTTTTTATTGACCAAGTGTGATTGGACACACGAGGAATTTATCATCTACTCCAGCTCTCTGCTTAGGCTTGAGACCTTATACCATTCTGGACAAGAACTTCAGAACTAGACCCTGATGAGTTTAGATAGCTCTAGATAATGTTCTTGGCATCATTCTTGCTCTCTTGCAGATATTCTTGAGATGAATTAAAGGAAACATAGAATATTTGATGTACTGATCAACCTTCCTTCAGTGTCCTTAACTCAGAGTAATTCTTGTGCTCAGTTGGGGACCACCGACTTATAGTACAGTCTCCAAAGGGCTATTCATTCTAACACTATTTATGATTGGCCCCAGAAAACCTCGTAAGTTGTAGATCATGGAAGTAAAGCTTTATTTCATTAAATATCTGTCATCAACTGACTTTCAGCATTTTTATTTCTGGTATTTTCTTAAAAATAATTTTTCTGTTCTTCAGGTTTGGATCCTAAGTAATGCATGTAATACATTACTGTAATACATTACTGAATACCAAAAATGTGTGCATGCAATACATTACTGTACACCATAAATAAATAAAAAATATGCACAATATAGCAAAATTAGGTAATTCATTGATATTTTAAGGATGGCGATTCTTGGGGTATTAATTAATTAGTTTGAATCATGCAATACTTTTTTTTTTCAAAACTGCTATGAAAATTGAAGAGGATGAGCATGTTAGAAGCAATGGCCTGTGCTTTATTCTCATGCAGAATAGTAATTGAGGAGCTGAATGGACCATAACAGGAACCAAAGCTGGAACAAGGTAGGGATTTCAATTTCTGGATTTCTTGGTGCCCTAAAACTCTTACCTAATTGGCCAATGAAACATCTGCAAGCAAATAACTAAACTCGGAGAACATGAAGAATTCCACAGTTCAACCCTGAACTACAGACATTCTGTTGAGATCTAGGTTTAAATCCTTCTTCAACTGCAAAATTTATTGGGTGATTTTGAACGATTCATGAGAACAACCTCACAATGTTATTGTGAAGTTAAAAGGAGAAGCTAATTAACTTAAATTAACTTGAATTAAATTAGAGGGCAGGACAAAAAATAAATCAATGGATGGAAACTTATCAAGGAGAGAAGCAACCTGGAATTAAGGAGAAACTTTCTAACAATGAGAACAACTTGCTTTCAGAAGTGGTGGGTGCTTCATCACTGGAGGTTTTTAAGAAGAGACTGGAAGCCACTTGTCTGAAAGGGTATAGGATCTCCTGCTTGAGCAGGGGATGGACTAGAAGACCTCCATGGTCCCTTCTAGTTCTATTCTGAATTGAACTGGAAAAATCCAGATCTAATTCTATTCTGTTTTTCCCCTCTTGACCACAACATTATGAGATGGGACCTCAAGAAAATCCCACAAAAGAAGCACAAATTGCTGGTTCCTCTAGACCAGCATGTGTTCTTCTTCATCATCCACATGTTCATTAGGCTATTACTCCCATAGGAACATCTTGAGCGCATCATATAAGCTAACGGCATTAACAGCTCTCTTGTGCCTCCAGTTGACATTTTCCCCATCACCCGCTGAGCTATCTTAATTGGAAATGTCATGGGTAGAACCCAGGACCTCCTACATCCAAAAAGTCCACCTATCATTGTACTCTGCTCCCTTTCCAAAAAGTAAAACTGAATAGTAGCCACTTGAAGCAAACCTTCTTCCATGAATCACCCTGCTCCTTCCATCCCTTTTCCATTTTATTTGACCAAGTGGTTCTTCATCATCTGCGGCTGGTACCTAGAAAGGCTTCAAGATTGTGACTTGCTGAACACAATGCCAAGCAGGCTGCCAACACTTCATTAAATAAATGTTTCCTTTCCCTTCACTCTTGGGGCATCCAGCAGAAAGGAGTCAAGCAGGGCTAAGGAGATTAGAAGCAGAAACTGAACAGGAGGAGCCAAGTGGTACAAATTAAGGATAGAAACGCACAAAACTATAACATAATACCATATCATCAAACCGTAACCTCTCTCTATAATCCTCGAGGCAACTGGAACCACAATCTTTTGACACAGGTAGAATTGGTTAGTGGAGATGAAAGTTGATGTTCCCAAGTTCTGCAGGACCTCCCAACTCTACTCCGCACTGAAACTACAGTCCCCAAACCTTTAGTAGATAACATATTGTTGCTGTATTATTACCCATTCTGTCTGGTGGGCCTATAGTTCCATTCCTTCTCCACTGCTCCAATGTAATATCGTCTGGTGATGCCAATGCTTTCCTGAAAGATGCAGCCCAGCAAAATAAGTCTGAGTGAAAGCAACTTCCACATGGTCTACCAACATCTGCCAATGGTGTCTGATTCAGAGGGAAATCCTGGAGAAGAAGGACTTATTCAGCAAACTCCATCCTCAGGTTGCTGTGAAACACCAGTAGGTCTTCTGACCTGCCACTGGAGAGAGAAACATGTTTTCACACACGCTATCAGTGTGCTGGAAGTTATGAGTGAACAGCAGGGTGGGGAGAAACAGGATGAGAGAGGGGAAAAGGAAAAGCAACCAAGGAAAGTTTAACCTCTTGTTCACTGCAGGTTTCCAACTCTTAGAAGCATCTTGTCAGTGCAATCCGAAATTGCATTAACAGAGGGATATAATCAAGACCAAGGGAGGTACTAACGTCACTCCATCAAGCCTTAGTAAGACCACACCTAGAATGCTGCATCCAGTTTTGGCCACCACACTATGAAAAAGATGTCAAGGGTCTAGAAAAAGTGAAGAGAAGAACAACCAGGATGATTCGGGGACTGGAGGTTAAAACATACAATGATCAGTTGCAGGAACTGGGCCTGGCTAGTCTAGTGAAGAGAAGGACCAGGGGAGACAGTATAGCAGTGCTTCAATATTTGAGGGGATGCCACAGAGAGGAGGAAGGGGGTCAAGCTATTTTCCAAGGCACTCAAAGGCCAGACAAGGAAGAATGGATGGAAACTGATCAAGGAGAGATTCAACCTAGAAATAAGGAGAGATTTTCTGACAGTGAGAAACTATCAACCCATGGAACTGAAGTTGCCTTTGGAAGTTGTGGAAGCTTCACCATTGGAGGCTTTCAAGAAGAGACTGGTCTGCCATCTGTCAGAAATGGTGCAGGGTGTGCTTGGACAGGGGGTTGGACTAGATGACCTACAAGGTCCCTTCCAACTCTGTTAGTCTGTATCTTAAGATAAAAACTCTTTTTGGAGCAGGTTAGGAATCACATTTGCAGATGAGTTCTGGAAGCCCACAACCCTTTTGAGTTTTCTTTTTGCGTCCGATAGATCAAATTAGTTATCTTGTACTTCAAAATGTAGGCATTCTATCTGTCTGCCAAGGTTAAATTGATATTTCATATTTGAGTTACTCCCTTATGAAACATGAGCACCGGGGCGAGATAAAATCATTTTCAAAAGTTTTGGGATTTATGGGGCTTTAATCATTCTGTAAAATCAACTGCAGGCGAAAATGTTGGGTTGCGTCTGTGTAGGTCGGTTTGTTCCGTGCTCCTGTTCTTTGATAGATGAACAAACGGTACTTTTTAATGGTATCAAAAGCGATCATCTACATTTATATTAAAATAACATGGCACTTCTGATGAAATGTGTTTTCAGTTGTAATAAGGTGCAAGATAAGGTAATGCACCATTTAAATATGCAGGGAAAGGCAATATTCAAATCGTAGATATTATGATCGTCATCACAGAATAGATCTTCTGGGTCAATGAGAGCAAATGAACTGCACCAACTCTTGTAAGGACAACCTTAGGGAATCACAGATCAAGAAGGAATCTTGGAGATTATTTCATTGACCTCAATGCTCAGGAGGGGATCCATAATAGCAAATGAAAATGCAACAATTCTCAGTGTTGAGCATCTCTAACCTTGGCAATTTACGACTTGTAGACATCAACTCTCAGAGTTCCTCAGCCAGTAAACAATGCATTCTTTAATACAAGTCTCTGCCTTTACTCATAATTAAAATTGGAGATTATGTCATGTATCTCTACTGTTTTAAATGCAGACTTAGCTGTCTTGGGAATTAGGGTTAGGCTGAGGAATGTTCTCTCTTTTTAAAAATGTGACTTTATTAAGTTTCAACAAAAGATAAAATACAGAGAAAGAGAAATGAAAAATTAAGAAAAAAGTGGGGGCTCAAGGGAGCACCTCAATTTGGGGTGCAGAACAAGAAAAGAGAAGAAAAATATAGAAAAAAAAGTAACTTCCAACTTTATTCGGTACAAATAGAAAAAGAAAATATATTAATCTTTTGCTCTAAAGCTAGCCCTAGTAGACAATACTTCTGTCATCATAAACAGTTCTAATCTTCAGATCCCAAAGTTAAAATTTCACTTCTTTGAGTTTCCAAGTAGAGACCAAATTAGGTGAAGTCTTCCCTTTAACCAAAGCAGTCCGTTTCACTATCTCTGTCAATTTCACTCTCCCTTCTTCCATTGTGGGAATGTGTAAGATCTTTCCGAGCAAGATTCTTTTCAGACCCATTCAGAGAAACTGAAAAATAACTTGTTGAATATTTCAAGTGTTGCAGCGTTATAAGGTTGGCACAATAGCAATAGCAATACCACTTAGACTTATATACTGCTTCACAATGGTTTACAGCCCACTCTAAGTGGTTTACAGAGTCAGCCTTTTGCCCCCAACAATCTGGGCCCTCATTTTAATGACCTCAGAAGGCTGGAAGGCTAAGTCAGCCTTGAGCTAGTCAGGCTGGAAGTGAGCAGCCTGCAAAACTGTGTTCTGGACATTGTGGTCGGTTTAGAGTTATTTTTCTCAACTCTAGGAAAAATGCAGTTGAACTTTCAAATCCAACTTCCCTATCAAGTAGGCATATGGGGTTACAAACTTTTTAACTGGGGGTGGGTGGGAGGGGAGGGACTAAGAAATTTCAGGGAGGAAACTTGATCAGATATATGAAAGTTTTTCCCCCTGTTGTTTCTCATAACGCAAGATCAGGCACCAAACTGAACATTGGAAGATTCTGGACCAATAACAGAAATACCTTGGCTCACAATGAGCAATTAACAGGTGGAATTTAGCAAAACCAAGATGAATGAAAACTGCATGCTTGGACAGCTTTAAAAGGTCAATTAGATACATTCCTGAGTGCAATTATTGCACAGGACAAGTATTGGCACATTGGCATGTATAACAGCATTAATTAAGGAAATACACAGCAGTATATTAATGCCACTATACAATCAATAGACTATCATGGTAATGCCTCTCATTATAAACTGTCTGATCTAGTAACAATGATTAGCTTTATTTCAGTGAACGGAAATGTACAAAAGATAACTTGAATGGCATCAAAATCAAATACACTGAAACAACCAACCAACCAAAAGGGAAAATGGAGATTTTAGCTTATGCAACACAGGGGAGAGGATGGTTTTAAGGAAGACTCAAACCATGATTGTCAAAAAACCCAGACTCTAATAAACTGGATAAGGCAAGAGATGCATAAGGAAAAAGGATCAAGACCCAAAGGTGCTTTTTGAAAAGGCAACTGGACTTTCTTGGGGGCGGTTTCCCCCTTGAAAATGTTTCGCTTCTCATCCAAGAAGCTTCTTCAGTTCTGAATGGTCACAGAAGCACTTATATTCATCTGGTCATTAGCTTCTTGGATGAAAAGCAAAATGTTTCCAAGGAAAAACCAAGGAAGTCCAGTTGGGAAAAAAACACCTTTGGGACAGAGGTGGTATTTAGCAGGTTCTGACCAATTCTGGAGAACCGGTAGCAGAAATTTTGAATAGTTTGCAGAACAGGCCTATACCACCTCTGACTGGCTCCACCGCCATGTAAATTCTCTGCCTCCCAAGTCCCAGGTGATCGGCTGGGTCTCCCTTTGTTGCCCTGCACAGGAGAACAGAGCTGGAAAGCAGGTTAGTGGGATGGGGAGGGAATGGGGTTTTTGCAGTATCCTTCCCCTGCCACACCCACCAAGCCACACCCACAGAACCGGTAGTAAAAAAAAATTGAATCCCACCACTGCTTTGGGACAACCACGATCAGAATGATTGACAATCTCCATAGACATTGACCAAGAGGTATACCAAGAGAAAGATGCCGAGGAAAGAATTTGGTAGAAAGTATAACAATTGCATCTGAATAATAATCCTTGGGAACCATCCCATAAACCATGGGTTCTATGTCAATGTCCTACCTGATTCTTCTGGAACTTGATACATGTTTAATCAGGCCAGATAAACCTTGAGCTGGACAGGTATGCATGGATGTGCAGATAAGGGCATTCTTAGTTTAGGAAGTCTTGAGTAAATATTGTAAACCTGGGTTTGTTTCTATGTCTCTGGATTCCTGGATAAAAAAAAGTATTGGAGATGCTTTCCGGCCATTAATGGGATGGAAATAGAGACGCAAACATTCCCAACACATCACTGTCCAACTTCTGTTGCTTGGACACATCAACACAGATGGTCATTCTGTCTCATTTAGTCACTGGTTCTATTGTTGAAATGCTCTTATCCATAGGAACTTTTTCTAACAATCAGAATTTGCCTTCCTGTAAGACCATGATGCCATTGTCCTATGGTCTCAGATGATAAAAAAAAAATAAGCCATCAAGCTCCTTCCATGTGATATCTCTTCAGTTGCTTATGCAGAGAATCCTTTATCTCTCTCTCTATCCACTTCTGGTGTTCTCTTCCCAGGTCCAGTTCTAACTTGTCATTTGCAGAACTTCTAATTGCTTGTACTTCCTAGTTCTGAATCTGCTTATTTTTGTTGAAACTATGGTTTCTGGAGTCTTCCTACATGGATTGGCCGACATGAGATGTTCTTTTGATTTGATCGGTGTCGCTATTTTATGTTCCTTTGTTTCCAAAAGTCAACAGGTTGGGTTTTTTGATATATCTAATTTTCTCTTTCTTCAGTTTTAAAAGACCTTCTCTCCTTTGGGCTCAATTGCGAGAGTTTTATTACATGTTTTGCAGTCTCTGGAAGGTTGTGTGAAATTGGGCTGAACTTACCAAGGCCACCACTATTCAGAAATTCTATCTGCTGGTTAGAAAACCCACTTCCTCCACCCTCCTGCTTCCTAGCTTAGAGCTCTCAAACGCTATTTATTTTGCAAATGCAGTCAACACAATTGCAAATTTCACAGATGTTGTTTTGCCTCATATGGTCCCTAGTAGGGAAACATCTGGGTCTGGAATTAACAGGGTTTTTTTGAGTCATTCCTCAGACAGAGACAGAAGAGAAATGAGGAATTTCCCTCGCAATCTTTTCACTTTTCACTTGATCAAAAACCCTTCTTCCTCCTTCAGATTCAGCAAAGGGTGATGTGGGGTGATTCATTCAAACTTTTATGTAAATCACATGTTCATGTTAAAATGACTGTTGAAACACAATTCCTTGTATGAAAACATATCTTGGTTCTTAACTGTACAGGACCAAAAGATTTTGTACTCCTGATCAAAA